GGATGATCGGTATTTGTTGTCAAGCAATAGTCTGCAGAAGAGTTTCCAGACTGAGGCTTCGACATATTCAAGCCATCTTATTAAAGAGTTGTCAACTGATGTGATTGAAGGTAAAACTCCATTGGATGTTTGGTCTGGTAGTGTCACTTCTGTTGAGGCTCCGATGAGGGAGCTAATTTACTCTCAGCAGGTGGAGAGTATTGGACAGATCTTAGATGTATCACAGCGGGTGGAGTGTGATGCTACTCCACATTGGGTAAAGATTACTCCAGATCATACTGCATTGTTTGGGATTCTAGCTGAGATGACACGGCTTAGGGATCATTTGGATTTGAGTGCAGATGATGAGTTGGGTTTTGATTCGAGTGCAGCTAGTAGACGTAGTTTGGATATGACCATTGGTTCACCTCAGGTGGAGGTGTTTGAGGCCATTGGAGGTGCTATCAGCCGCAGAGTTGATGATATTGGAGAAGGGTTACGAATTCTTCTATTGGATTGAGGTCGTTCGTGGCCATTTGGATGAACTACGTGAGGCATGATTCCTTGAGCAAGAGGATACGTAGGCAGTCTTTATGATGCAGCCGGGTTGGATCTTGATGGGGGTGAGATCGATTTGGTGAGTAGATACCGACGTTTGGAGAGTGGTCACATTCTCATTTGGGTTCTAGACTTGTTGTGAATTGAGTCCGTTGTCGTGAATTGTTTCACGGCATCCTGGACGCAACAAGTGGGACATTTATTTTGATTGGTGTCGGCTCAGTTTTGGGAAAACTTCGCCGAGGTGGAGAATTATGAATGTGACGTAGGCTAACCTACCACGTGAAGAGATCAAAAAAAGAAAATGCGTGAAGTTCAAAGCAAGTGGGGGCTACGAATGTTGGTGTGAGGAGTTTTCGTATGTGAACATGTGGGGCCCACGAATGTTGGCAGGAGTTGATTGAAGGCCCACCCGAACTGCAGCTATATATAGCTGCTATTTCCTAGGTTTTAAGTGTGCAAGGTAAATCGCAGAGGGGGTTTGTGCAGGGAGAAACAAAATCGGCTGTGTTTTCTTTGTTCTTTTGGTAGCGTTCTTTTGGGCGGCGTGTAGAGGAAGTAGGAGCAGCGAAAGCAGCAAGCCGCCGACTTTGTGCGTGGATTTCTGTGCAGTCTTTTGGTTATTTTGAGAGAGATACTTGCGTGAGGGTTTAGATTGAGTGATTGTAAACCCTAGTTATATCTCTCCCTCTAATAGTAGATCTCCCTCCTCCTTGCCCCGTGGACGTAGGCAGTTTGCCGAACCACATAAAATTAGTTTGTTTGTGTTTGTGACCATTGTAATAGTTTTTAGGATCCCTCGACAAGTCAGTCCTAGGTTTGTTTGTGTTTGTGACCATTGTAATAGTTTTTAGGATCCCTCGACAAGTCAGTCCTAGAACTGATGAGAGGAAGAGCCGATATCTCATTTTGTTGAGATATTCGCTTCAGATTCTTGTTTCCTTTGTGAGACGGGAATTCTTATCGATCTTTCTCTCTTATTGTGCACCAGAAACTCTGCCGAAATTTTCACTGCGCACAACATATATTTTATGATGGTTCTATGAAAATAAGAAATATATATGGTGATTTTCTAAAAAGTTACTATATTTTGTGTTGGTTTTGTATAAAAAACCCTTCTCTAAATTGGAGTTTTTGCCGTGAAAGAGAGAACTGATCACCTGATAACAATTATCGAGGCTTGGGACGTGGCAAGGAGTTGCAGTTGGCTATGCGTAGAGGTTCAAACTTCGGCGATAAAATGGAAGAGAAAAGACCCAATAATACACATATGATATGATGTTGCCCGCTCTCAAGCTATTCTCATCCTCATGAATTTATCGAGTGCTATTTGCTTCATTTTCTGGCTCTTAAGAATAAAGAGTTATAGGACACTCTTCTCTTGAAATTTTGAGCTAGCCAACTCTTGAGGCCGATTCCTTTTTTTAACCACTTTTTTATTTGTTTGTGTAGAATATGTAAAGTATTTATTATCTTTGTTGGAAACTTAGTTCATTTTCTTCTTCACATCTTAATGATTCAATTGATGTCATCTAGGATTACATGAAAGACAATTCTATTTTAGTGATTTTTTTCTTTCTTTCTTTCCTTCTCTCTCTCTATCTCTTTACAAGAAGAAAATAGTTTTGATTATGACTAAAATACTCCAAAAAACGGTCAAAAAAAGACCAAATTTTGAGGGTATTTTGGTCATTTGACTAGGGGGCTGCCTCTATAAATAGAAGGAGTTTTTATTTGTTTTTCTCATCCAAAACTCATCTACTTCTCTCTAATATTCTCTAATACGCTCTAATACTTTCTTATTCTCGCTTTAGCTTTCTAATTATTCAATCAAATGGCTTCCTCCTCTGATTATGACGGGCAAATTCTAACTCCCAATGTTAAAACGAGTCCTAATACTCCTACTGTATGAGCTACAGTTACTCCTCCTACCGATGTTGTTCACGAACCCGGTGGCGATGATTCTGCACTTAGAGCTCCTACAAGGCCGAGATCCCATGTGTGGAACTTCTTTGAGAAGATAGAAGTCACTAGGGATCAACATTGTAAGCTCCTCACCCAGAAGACTAAGTGTGCGTTATGCGGCCATATTTTCCAAGCTCATCATAAAAACGGTACCAACCACCTTAAACGCCATTTAGAAAAGCACAACAGAGGTCAGACAACACCTCAGTGATATCTGACAATCTTTACTCTCCCAATCCTCATCGTCCGGTAGTCTCAGTAGTTGGAACTATGACGCAATTAAAACCAGGAAATGCGTCATCAAGTTTGTTATTCTTAAAAACCTTTCTTTTAAATTACTAGAAGATGATGAATTTGAAGATATGATTACAGATGGTTTTTATCTCGCATTTAAAAAGTTTTCTCGTCAATCTTATCAACGTGATATTTTGAAATATTATCATGAGGAATAAGCAAAAATAATTTCTTATTTTTAAAATTTAAATTGTAAATTTTCTTTAAGTTCTGATACTTGAACATCTAGATCACAAACTTGTTATTTATGTATCACAACACACTGGATTGATGATAGTTGGCAAATGTTTAAAAGAATTATTTTTATTACATTTAAATATTCACATAATGGTATTAATATTGCAAATTTAATAATAGAAGAACTCATAAAATTAGAAAATTCAGAAAAAATATTTTCTCTTTTCACTAGATAATGCAAGTAATAATAATATAGTTGTTGATCATATCAAATCATCTTTGCTATTGCTATGTCATAGTGATATTTTTCATATTAGATGTATGTGTCATATTTTAAATTTAATTGTTCAAAATGCATTTGGTGAAATTAAATCCATGATAGAAAAGGTTAGAACAATACCTTATGCTCATAATGCTTCTGAACAAAGACTTAAAAGATGAAAACAATTGTGTAAAAGAAAATTTTTTAAACCCAGATTAATTCCAAAAGATGTTGACCATAGGTGGAATTCTACCTATGCAATGTTAAATTTAGCAATAAAGTATAAAAAATTATAAATAATTTTATTACTTTCTATACTTTTAGTTCTAGATATGGTAATATGTATGGAATAACTGACGATGAATGGTCAGTTGTATATAGTGTAAAAGAAATGTTATAAGTTTTTTATGATGCTACTATGTTATTATCTGGTTGTTATTATCCAACTATTATTCAAACTACTTTATAAGTTTTAAATATTCAAAAAATATTTAATAATTATCATATGGATAATTATTTTGAAAATATGATTTTTCAAATAGAAAGTAAATTTAATAAGTATTTTAAGCATATTCTTATTATTTTTGGTTTGGGGATTCTTATTGATCCATGTTTGAAGGATGTTGGCCTTCAAATTTTGTTAAATTCTTTGTATGGTAACATGATAATAGACACTGATGATGGTCAAACTATTACTGCTCTTTCTCATCATAATACTATTAGAACTTATTTTCAAAGATTATATGATGGATATGCAGCTAGATATGGTGTAAGTACACATCAGCCTATAGGTTCTGCTTCTACGAGTTCAAGTCGGGGCAAAGATAAGAGTTTTTATAGGGAATTATTGATAGCTGAGCTAATTGGTGGATCTGAATCTGGATATGGATCATCAATGGAAGTTTCTAAAATTGAACAATATTTAACTGCATATTTAATTAAAAGTCAAAATAATAGTTTTGATATTTTGCAATGGTGAAGAGAGTATATGGAACAGTTTCATATCTTATATTTTCCATCATGACTCGTGACTCACTAAAAGTGCAAGTTTTCACGGTAGCTTCAGAATCCGCCTTCAGCACATCAGGACGTTTGATCGACGATCACAGGACATCATTAGATCTATCTATCGTACATGCGGTAATGTGCCTACAAGATTGGTAGATGTACAAGAAGAGAACTCAATGCATCGATCAGATGGTTAGTATTGAAGATAAACTTGAAGAGTTAGGAATAAGAGATAAATATAAAGAGCAGAAATTATTCATTAGTTTGTAATTTTTATTTCTTAGCTAAGAATTTGTGATAATTTTTTTTTTGGAAAGAGTTGCTAATGATAGTGATATAGATGAGGGAGTGCCAACCCAGTTGGGATGTATTCATCTATTGTGAGGCGACCTATTCCAAAATAAATTTGTAATTATTAGTCTGATTATTAATAAAGATTTTATTTTTATCATTTTAATTTTTATAATTTTTTGTATTTATAAATTATATAATTACAAGTGATTAATAATATGTTTGATTTTTTATCAAAATTACGCTTAATTTATTGTTATTTACTCTTGAATTTTTTTAACTAAAAAAGAAAAAAAAAAGAAAAAAAAGGAAATGAGTAGGCCGGCCTAGCCGACCAAGCCGTCCGTTTGGACAGATCTAACTACTATATCAAAACTCTGAAGTTATGACGACCCCCTAATACAATGTGAAAATCTCTAACTAATATATCAAAAACTCCGAAAATTATGACAACGCTCCAGGATTATGATGCTATATTCTAACACGTGCTACCAAATCGAGGGGTAAATTTTCAAAGAAACCCTAATTTCAGTCTGAGAAGAAGAACGGAGAAGATAGCAAATAGTTTTTCTTTTCTCCCGAAAATTGGTTTTCGCCCCTAATTGGAGCAAAAGGAAGATTCAATTTCTTTTTGTTGGGAAAAAATAAATGACCAATTTAATTACAGCCCTCTTCTGTTTGCTCCTCACGTGCGGCCGCCTTCACTGGTAAGTATCGTCCCCCTTCTGTTTATTGATCAACGTCCAATTTTCTCAACTGATGACGAGCGCATCTCAATTTTGTACTTAAGGAGGCATTCAAAACATTTGCTCGCATCATAATTGTGTTATTCGTTGTGCACGTGGGACTTGTCCTCAATGGATAGGCTCAACGTATTTCTCCATTTTGGTAGTGAAATGCATACAATGTCTAAATTTAATTTCTTCACATCTTAATGATGATTCAGCTGATGTCATTTAGCTTGCAGCTTCTCTTGATTTAGAAGAAAGCGGTGACTTTCTTCACATCTTGCAGCTTCTTCTTGAAACAAGCACATTGTTGATTCAATTCTCACAAAATATATTTAAAGAATGATTAGCCAGCATCGAGTCACTAACAATCTTGTTAGCTATGAAGTTGAAAGGCCTAGAGGCTCCACATGTCCCAAATAAAGCTGGTGCATCAATACCCAAGTTCTGGAACTCGAACTTGATCATCGGGTTTGTGATCCCAACACTCCAGGATCACTTGATATAGTTCTTGTTGAAATGAACACAAATTCAGTAGTATGCAAATAGTTATACTCTTGTATTGGAGTATACAGGTGTAGGTAACAGTTCTTATGCTTTAACTGGAAATTATTGTCCTCTGCATCAGCTTCTTGTTTTTCCCTTACCCGAGTTTTTCGATGTTAATTCCTGTAAGTAGTTGGTATGATGCAACATATTTATTTGCTGACTTTGTTTGTAGTGACTGAACCTGCCTATAAACTTGTTAATCTTTCCTAGCATGTATACAATATAAATGATGATTCATTGTCAATTTTCATTCTAATGTAAACTTTTGAGGGATATGGCAGTGGGATGATACATCACCTACCTAAGTTCCCACATTCGGCCAGGTTCACTGATGTTTCCAGAAAGCATTAGGACTTTTGAGGAGAAGTTGCACATACTTGATACGGGAAGGATATTATCGTGTTGGGGATTCTGCTGGAAGTTGTTATGTTCAGTTGTCGCATTGCTGGAATTACCCATCCTTTGATTCTCCAAGCAAGTTTCTTCTCATCTTAAGTTTCATGATTCAGTGTTTGATTCCTCTTTCCAAAAGATATTGTAGCAACAAAGGGGGCCAAAAGATTGAAACTCTCCATTGCAGGTACTTATTTATGTATGGAAATAATTACAGATTTGTTCATTCAATTCAAGCTAATAGAGTTACTGTTGATAATGGCTTGAATTTGGCCAAACATCACGGGACCAATTTTGTTTTGAGAACACAAAGTCTGACTTCGGGTTATTATTGGAGGTCGATGTCTAGTCATTATCAAGTCACCTATTTTCACTTCTCAAATCAACTCTGTTCAACAATTGCGGCTGCAGAAGAAATTTTGTGGAAGGTCGTTGTCATTGATCACTTCGGGTAAAGAAAGACAATATTGATGTGGGCCCCTGTTGATTTGAAGAGAGATCTCATTCTCCCTTAAAACTCTCAGTGTGTTATCATTTATCAACCCAGGAGTGAGCTCTCAAAATTTTGTACAAGTGTTGAAACTCAGAGAGAAATAAAATTAAGCCCCCTCTTGCCGTGGACATAGATCAATTTGATCGAACCACGTAAACATTGTGTGTTTGTGATTGTTCTATTTTCTGGTTTTGTGTTTAAATTATCCCAACAATTGATATCAGAGATTCTCGGTTCTAGGACAGCTTTCAATCCTCCACAATGGCTTCTGTGAAGTTTTCGGTGTCGATCTTCGATGGCCAAAACAATTTCGGTCTATGGAGGATAAAGATGAAGACTTTGTTGCGACGTGAAGGCACAATTAAAGCTATCGATGATAAATATCCAGAAAATATAACTAGTGCCGAGATCGAAGAGATGGACGAAAAGGCTCACGGCGCCTTGCAATTGTCACTATCCGACAATGTGCTTCGTGAAGTTACCGATGAGGAAACGACAGCGGGGTTGTGGTCAAAGCTCGAAAGTCTTTACTTGAAGAAATCTCTTACTATGAGATTATACCTGAAGCAACGGCTATACACATTGAAGGTGAAGGAAGGTACACCCATTCAGGAACACCTTGATGAATTTAATAAAATTGTCTTGTATATGAAAAACCTGGATCTTAATCTTGATGATGAAGACCAATCTCTCATCGTGTTGTGTTCCTTGCTTGACTCTTATGAAAACTTTATTAACTCTATGTTGTATGGAAGAGAATCCATAAGTCTTGAGGATGTAAAGGCCTCTTTGAATTCTGCTGAGTTAAGAACAAAGTTGAATGGGAGATGTACCGATAGGCAGGCTGATGGTCTGCTAGCCAGAGGTAGAATGAAGACTAGAGATGGTGATAAAGGGCAATCCAGAAATCGTTCAAAGTCCAGGTCAGCCCAAAACAAGAAAAATATGGAGTGTTTCTATTGTCACAAGAAAGAGCATTACAAGTCAGAATGCTATGCTCTAAAGAAGAAAGACAACCAGCGTGATGAAACCTCAGATTCAGCTAATACGGCAAAGGCTGATACTGCTGTTGTTGCTGAGACGGTTCTTACAGTTTGTCCCTTGGATGACCGTTAAGATAGAGAATGGATCTTGGATACGGGTGCGTCTTATCATATGTGTCCATATAAAGATTGGTTCACTACTTACAGATCTATAAGTGGTGGATCAGTTTTGATGGGCAACAATGCAGTTTGCAAGACAGTTGGTATTGGTACAGTTCACATCCGGTGTCACGATGGGATAGTGAGAACTTTATTAGATGTGAGACACATCCCGGATTTAAAGAAAAATCTGATTTTTTTTGAGTTCTTTGGATTCTATTGGGTGTTCTTACACTGGTGAAGGTGGAGCTCTTAGAGTTACTAAGGATTCATTGGTTGTGATGAAAGGTTATAAGGTGAACAGTCTTTATGTTCTCTAAGGCAGTACGGTGACAGGCTCTGCAGGTGTGTCCTCTGATGCTGATAGGGACACTACTCAGTTGTGGCACATGCGCTTAGGCCACATGAGTGAGAAGGGGATGGCTATTTTGAATAAACGTGGCTTAATCTGTGGTGACCATATATCATCACTGGATTTCTGTGAGCATTGTGTGTTTGGGAAGCAAACTCGTGTCAGCTTCTCGACTGGCTCACATACGACGAAGGGCACTCTCGACTACATCCATTCAGATTTGTGGGGACCTGCTTAGGTTCCATCCAAATGTGGTGTTCTTTATTTTCTGACATTTATTGATGATTTTTTTAGGAAAGTTTGGGTTTACTTTCTCAGGGGCAAACGTGAGGTGTTCAAAACTTTCAAGAAGTGGAAAATACTTGTTGAAATGAAAAGAATATTAAACGTCTCCGAACAGATAATGGCCTAGAGTTCTGCAGTGGTGAGTTCAATCAGTTCTGTTCAAATTCTGGGATCGTACGACATCGCACGCTCAGACACACTCCTCAGCAAAACGGGGTGGCAGAACGCATGAATAGAACGTTGATGGAGAGCTAGGTATATGTTCTCAAACTTTGGGTTGGATAAAGACTTCTAGGCTGAAGCTGTCAACACAGCTTGTTACTTGATAAACCGGTCTCCTTCTATCGCCATTGAACACAAGACTCCAAATGAGGTATGGTCAGGTAAACCAAATGACTATTCAAATTTAAAGGTATTTGGATGCCCCGCTTACTATCATGTTAGAGAAAGTAAGCTTGAGCCTAGAGCTAAAAAATACATATTTATTGGTTATGCTGATAGCGTTAAAGGCTATCGTTTGTGGAGTCTTGAACCTGATTCTCCTAAATTTATTATTAGTAGAGATGCTATTTTTAATGAAAGATATATGCTTGATCATGGGAAGATTTTTGTTGAGTCTACAGAAAATGTAAAAAAAACCATGGATAAGATGGAGCTTCAGGTGGAGCTCGAGGGAGAGACTTCTCAAAAGTTATCTATAAAAATTGCTCCTACAGTTATAGAAGAGCAACATGATTCAAGCTCAGATGATGATGATGCTGAGAATGAAGAATCTTATTCCATAGCCACTGGCAGAGAGAGGAGACAGATCAGACCTCCTCAAAGATATGCACATGTTGATTTAGTGGTGTATGCTCTCATGACAGCTGAAGAGATGTGTATTCAAGAGCCATTAAACTTTACTGAAGCTGTCTCATGCGAAGAATCTGGAAGTTGGGCCACAGCTATGACAGAAGAACTCGAGTCACTTTACAAGAATCAGACTTGGGATTTGGTGCAATTACCCAAGGGAAAAAGGGCAATTGGATGCAAGTGGATTTTTAAGAAGAAAGAAGGGATCCCAGGGGTTGAAGATGCTAGATTCAAAGCACGGTTGGTAGCTAAGGGTTATAGACAAAAGGAGGGAATTGACTATGATGAAGTGTTCTCTCCGGTTGTAAAGCATACCTCCATCCATGTATTGCTTACCATAGTTATTCTATTTGATCTGGAGCTTGAGAAGCATGATGTGAAGACTGCATTTTTGCATGACGAACTTGAGGAGACTATCTACATGTCTCAGTCAAAGGGATGCTTCGTAGAAGGTAAAGAAGATCAAGTTTGCAGATTGAAAAAATCTTTGTATGGCCTGAAGCAATCTCCCAGACAATGGTACAAGAGGTTTGATAGTTTTATGCTTAGTCATGGGTACTCAAGAAGTATTTATGATAGTTGTGTGTACTACATGCATCTAGGAGATGATTCTTTTATTTATCTTCTATTATATGTTGATGACATACTTATTGCTGCTAATAACATATCGCATATTCTTATTTTGAAAAAAATAACTCAATGATGAGTTTGAGATAAAAGATCTTGGTACAACAAAGAAGATCTTAGGCATGGAGATCAGGAGGGACAGAAAAGCTGGAACATTATATCTCTCACAGAAGAGTTATATTGAAAAGGTGCTTGAACGCTTTGGGATGAAGAGGGCCAAGCCCGTTACTCCTTTGGCTCCTCACTTTAGGCTCTCGGCTTCAGATTCACCTACAAGTGAGAACAAGAAGAAGAAGATGTCCCGAGTTCCATACTCTAATGCAGTGGGTAGCATTATGTATGCTATGATTTGCACTCGTCCAGACATTGCCCAGGTAGTCAGTATAGTGAGCAGATACATGGCTCAATCAGGGAAGGCACATTAGAAAGCAGTGAAGTAGATTCTTCGGTATCTCAGGGGTACCTCAGATTTGGATTTAGTTTTTGATAACAGTACTTTGGGAACCTTAGTTGTAGGTTTTGTGAATTCTGACTATACAGGTGATCTCGATAAAAGAAGATCTTTGACTGGTTATCTTTTTACTCTTTCTGGCTCATCTATTAGTTGGAGATTGACTCTACAGTCGACAGTTGCTTTGTCCATTACAGAGGCAGAATACATGGCAGCAGCAGAAACGGTAAAAGAGGTCATTTGGTTGAGAAATCTCGTAAGGAAACTTGGATTTACGATAATCAGAGCGCAATACATCTAAGTAAAAACTCAGTACATCATGAGAGGACAAAACATATTGATGTCAGATATCATTTCATTCGTGAGGTAACTGCTGAAAAAAACATCACGATGAAAAAGATTGGTACTGCAGACAACCTAGCTGACATGTTGACGAAACCGATCCCGGCCTTCAAGTTCAAGCACTGCTTGAATTTGGGAGGCATTCGTACTTGTTAAGTGGCCCCTGTTTGGGGCATTATTTGCAAGAGGGGGTCGAGTTTCACTTGTTCTATTATGAAGTGAACTCTCACGTAAGCTGTGTTTATGATGAATATTCAACTTCTTGATGTTTGAAAATTCAATCCAAGGTGGAGATTGTTGATAATGGCTTGAATTTGGCCAAACATCACGGGACCAATTTTGTTTTGAGAACACAAAGTCTGACTTCGGGTTATTATTGGAGGTCGCTGTCGAGTCATTATCAAGTCACCTCTTTTCACTTCTCAAATCAACTCTGTTCAACAATTGCGGCTGCAAAAGAAATTTTGTGGAAGGTCGTTGTCATTGATCACTTCGGGTAAAGAAAGACAATATTGATGTGGGCCCCTGTTGATTTGAAGAGAGATCTCATTCTTTCTTAAAACTCTCAGTGTGTTATCAACCCAGGAGTGAGCTCTTAAAATTTTGTACAAGTGTTGAAACTCTGAGAGAAATAAAATTAAGTCCTCTCTTGCCGTGGACGTAGATCAATTTGATCGAACCACGTAAACATTGTGTGTTTGTGATTGTTCTATTTTCTGGTTTTGTGTTTAAATTATCCCAACAGTTACATACCTTAGAGAAGAATAGAAGATAAACGTCTATAATGAATTATAATAATCTTGTTCCCCACATATAATGGACCAAAGTGAAAAAACAAAAAGATGGACGACATCATCTCTTTTGGAAGTTACAAAATTTGATTCCGTAAGCAAACACAAAAGCAAAGAGTACAGTAAATCCAATCACTGCAGCGCTAACCTCACCCAAGAAGTCATGCCTATATCCAAAATAACTCTTAAGAAATTCCTTCACTGTTTGACCATTCTCCAGCATGTTGTTATCATCCCCATATTGTGACACACACAGACCGTATAAAGACCAAGATACCGGGCAAGCCCAGTAGTACCATCTCCACCATACAGGTATCCTCTGCATTCAGTAATGTGATATATTCTTAGTAAAATTAGAAAGTGTAACCAGAACAATGCTTTTGGTTTTTGGAAACCTACGGGTCGAGGAATAATGAAGCCTGCAAAGAGATTCCATATAAAATAGAATGCGGCAGCAACAACTGAAGCAATATCCGAATTAGGAGTGAGAGCAACCGCCATCATCCCATAGTAGGTGAAGTATAGGAAACTGCAGAATGTGAAGAACGTGTACCACAAGAATTTTGCTGCAGTCCAGTCAAAGTTTATCATCAAATAGACAAGAATGCAGTAGAGTACAGACTGGAAAAGAGCATATGGAACCTCAACGGCAACCTACAAGAAAGAGATTTCAGTTACTAACTAAAATTGTAAGGCAGTTTGGTCCAAATGACTTTTTTAACGGCATCTGTCATGGTTAACGGAATGAAATAATAGGGTATTTAAGTACAACAACAAACAAGTGAGGATTTACAAGTGCAACCCTGGGTAAAGCATATGGTAATATGGTATATAAGTGCAACTAAGCTTAACAAAAAGGCGAGATAAAATAAGTTAATCCTGGTATCAGACCAACTTACTTTCTAGTTGGAAATTATGGAGCACTATCTAAAACATTTTCTCCAGCTGCATGGATGAAATCTAGCAGCTTTAGATGCCACTCTAATTTGCATGAACTTAAAGGGCCCGTTTGGCTAACCACTAAAACTGGGCTAGGTTCAAACTTAGTCTGGTTTTAATATAGCTTTATGTTTGGGAAAAGTAGGACTAGAGCTGGCTCAACTTATTTTAGTTTATTTTTCAGCCTCTTAACCAGGCTAGAATCGAACCACCCCCTACCTGGTGCAATTATGGCCTGGTTAAAAAATAAAACTGGGTTGTCTTGATTTCTATTAGGTTGCCAAACAACCCAAAGACTTAAAGCTAAGGTTGGATCTATTTATAGTCCCGTTTATGTTATTGGTTTATGCCAATTTTTTAAAAGTGTTTTGCATATTATAATTCTTGTACCAGTAATACATCAAAGTAAGTGTCAGGTTGAGAACCTATAAGGAGATTTGGTTTATGCCAAATTAGGGAGTGTATCGTTTGGTATCATCCTTCTGAGACAAATTTGATGAAAAAGTCACATGGTAGTGATAAGGCACAATAGTTTCCTCAGACCGGTAAATGACATTAGTAGTTTACCTGTGCAACTGCATATGGTATTGGTGAGTACATTCCAGCAGCCTTTTCTCGGTAGAACACTGTTCTTTCAACATCGACAACGGGCTGTACAGTCTGAGAATTCTGTATTCCGATGAACACAACCCCAGAATATATTGAACCCAAGGCATTGAAGAGACCTTGCATGGTGGTCCTGTAAAGTATTATAGATATGTTCACATTAATAACGCTTAAGAGTTTCAAAATCTGACATGAAAATGATAGTTGATATATAATATGAAGATGCTTGGTTACTGATATACTTCTTGGATCCAAGATTCCAGAAGATCGTCCCAAACATAAATGCAAGGACTGTTGTGAAGAACATCCTAATTGCTGTGTATGATGGATTGCGCCAGTAAGATTTGTATTGTTTCCAGAAGCAAGCGACGCATTGCATGAAGAACGACTGTGAAAACTTTGTGGGAAAATATAGATCCTTTGAACCAGGGGGAGGAGTCCTCAATTCACTAATCAAAGCCTTATTCCTTCTGCAAAATTTGCCTCAAGTTATTTCTATTGGTTAGTCAATTGAATCATGAATTTAAATAACAGCCCTATTTTCTGCCTCATTGAAGGGAATCTATGTCTGATAAGTTATGAGTTTTAGATACCTGAATAAATCTGAGTTTTTGTACACTTCAGCGAAATTGACCCCCAAAATTTCTTCTTGTGCCATGGTAGTGACCTCCAACATCCATGTTGCAGGATTGTATCCATCTTTAATCTTGCTAACTCCATTGACTGCCTGGACAAAACACAAGTTCACGTCATGGACTTTCATGTCAAATTTGAGATAGAAAATAAATTTGATGAAACTGTGCGTCTTTTGTTACATATTACCTCAAAATAACTGATTAGATCACATGAGTTGTGCCCGAGAGGTCCTACATATATTTCTTCTCCTCCTCGTTTCAGTAGGAAGAGCTGTGAATTTGTTGAATCCCATTAGTAAGTCAAATTAGTAGACCAACTTCTTGGTTAATAAATCAAAGGTCATGCATCAAAATATCAGCTCCATAAGAAATTTGCTTCCGTTAATTTTATCTTTTACCTCATCAAATGCTTCAAAAATATCGATGCTTGGTTGGTGAATCGTGCACACAACTGTTCTTCCTGTATCAACTGTGTTCCTGACTGTTCTCATAACAATAGCTGCTGCTCGGGCATCAAGTCCGGAGGTTGGTTCATCTAAGAAAATTATTGAAGGGTTGGCAACAAGCTCAACAGCAATCGTAAGACGCTTGCGTTGTTCAGTTGACAACCCACTAACACCAGGCAACCCAACCAATGCATCCCTCAATGGAGTCAACTCAACCAGTTCCATAACCTCCTCAACGAACATCTAAAACCATCATTATTACATGTTAAATTGAAGGAAACACCAAGCATCTATACTAATATATAAAGAACATAGTGAGGGCATGGAAAATTTTGGATGACAGGAGGACACCTTCTCATTTCTACTACAGATGAATAGGCAAGAAAAAGTAACTTTACAAAGGAATGTTTTTCTTTTTTCCTTTTCATTCTCTTTCCTTTTCTTCAAGAACATTCCATAAAATTCTTTCTTTCTTTTCCTTCAATAACATTCCATAGGATTCATGGACATGAAAAATTAGGAATCAATAATTACATGCACATTTATTTCAAATTGTAAGAAGAATAAAATAAAGTTCTAAGTTTTTATAGAATAATACTTATCTATATATCTATAATCAATACTAATATATAATGAACACTGAGGTTAGTATATAATGAACATTAAGAGGCAAGGAATTTTTTGAAATATCATTCATTTTTTCCTTAAAACTCTCACCAATAAACATATGCATTTAAATGTAAACGTTTGACTGAAAAAATTGATTTTGCCTTTTTTATCACTTATTACATCAGGCTTAACCTTAGGGGGTGTTTGGTTGCATTGTTTTTGAGAAATGTTTTCTCAAAAAGAACAAACAATGGCATTTCTGTAATTAAGAGTTTTCTATAGATTTCCACAAACTGTGTTTGGCTCAAAAAAGATTTACAGAAATGTTTTCTGTAAAGTATAGAAAAGTACCAAAATTTATAGAAATTGATTTCCTTCTAATGGGCGGAAATCTCTTGGAAATCTGACGCATTCATTATTTAAATAATAAAACTCATTAACACTTTTCTATCAAGTTCTCACTTTTCTATAAAGTTGGGGGTGTTTGGTTACATTTCTATAAATTATAGAAAATGTTGCTATTTTCCCAAAAGTTATGAGTAATTTTCTTGTTTTGAACCAAACAAGCACAATACAAAAAATAAGAAAATTTGTACTTTTTAACTTCTCAAAACTTGTTAACAACATTATATCATCTTATTGTAGATATACAAGTTATGATATTTCTTTAACAAATTTTGGTAGCTCAAGCTGATTACTTGTATTGTATTACTGTTATATATTATGTATATGCTTGTTTTCTGTTATTGTCTATATGTATAAATGTTTGACAATCCTAGGTTATAATCCGCGTGGGTTATAATCTGCTCAACCCGTTCGCTTAAAACTTTAGGTATTTGGTAAATGGGTGGTTTATAATCCATGTGTGTTCTGTTAAAATGACCAAAAATTCTTAAAACTGGGAGTAGGGATGAAAGTGACTGAAAACATGATGGGTTATCTTTTGGTGGATTATAATCCAAAATAATCCATACAAAATGTGGTTAGCTAACATGCAAAGTGGATTATAACTCAAAAGGTGGATTATAATCTACTTTGACTAAGTTTCCAAACATGCTCTTACACACCTTTCCTGTCTTAGGATCAACTTCAGAAGGTAGCCGAAGCCATGCAGAGTAGATGAGGGACTCATAGACGGTAACATGAGGCGAGTGTATGTCATTTTGTTCACAGTATCCTGATATCCGAGCAAATGTTTCTTGATTCTTTGAATAACCAGATATAGTAATGTTTCCTGCTATATATCCACCGGTCTTCCTTCCAGCCAAGACATCCATCAGAGTAGTCTTACCAGCTCCACTGACTCCCATCAGTGCAGTAAGAACTCCAGGTCTGAAAGCACCACTGACACCCTTCAATAGCATTAATCTGTCCTCGGACACACTTTGAACTCTCATTTCCTGTGAATTTAATTAAATTCAATTATGGTTATGATTTCCCTTAGTAAACAATTTGATTACAGATTTGAATGTTGGGTTTACCTGGGGCATGTCCACCGAGTATCTGACATTATCAAAATCTATTGAAAGAGGTGCAAATGGGAGCACCATTCCCTTCTCCTTGTTTTGATATTGAATAGTTTCTATTTTTGTCCCTGCTCCGCCTCTTGTTCCTGTAATCATGCAAATTATTGTTTTAGTTGAATTTCATAAAGTACTATATGATATGTTGAACTTCAGCTATTTGATTGTAGCTCACTTTCTGATCTGCTGCAGGAATTTTTTCCAAGGGCCGATAATTTCCCTGTTCTGTTAGCATTCTTCTCCTTTAAAGTCTCCTCGGAAATTACTGCTTGGCCTTCTCCTATCGCTGCAGCAGGACATATGATGATTAAGTTTTTTTTTTATATTAAACATGTAAATGTATAGTAAGCAAAGGTAGATTGATTTTGGAGATGACTCACGGTTGAGATACTTAAGAGCGAGAATGAAGAGGACATTAAAGGCCAGAATATATCCAAACAAAGCACTGACACCAACCCAATACCACTTTGCTTCTGCAAACAAACCACGAGACTCTATGATTTGGACTCCCAATGTTTGGTTACTTGCCGTTGCATTGACCACCTACACCGTACAATCAAGATTATTAACCTATCACAGTTGAGGCCAGTGATGCAAGAATGCTTACATGATCCCATTTCTTTCCCAGAAACTCATTTACTGCTATGGCATTCTGTGCATACATCAAGGGTGATGCCCAATAACCCCAGATCCACCATTTTCTGATATTGTCTACAGAAAGATAAGGTTTAAGTTATACATAGAACTTTTGTCTCTAAAGAGTATCTGTGTCAGTGAGTCCATACTTCGTGAAATAATGAAGCCACCCAGTACCATAAGTACCAGCTGAACAAATGAACCATATGTGTTTGCAATAACCATTGTTCTTCCAGTTGCCGCAATTAGCCGGAAGAGTCCAGAAGCCACTTGGCTAATCAATGCATACAGGAAGAATTGCCTAAACAATCTGCAGTAAGGGGGGAAGAACAAGAAATTTGAGTCGCACTGTTTAGAAATACCATTGTGAACTTCAAAGTGACTTCAAGTTATATGCAATCTCACCTATTGACACTCGGGTCAAAGCCGATGACATAGTAAGTCAATGCTACATAGACACCACATTCAATAAATGAAATTGGGATTTTCAGGATCCATGTAGGTAGGGCATATGCCCATGGTGGAAACAAAAGAAGATCTCTTTGCTTATAGAAAACTGGAAGCTTCGCTATGCTCATTGCTAGCTCAGCAAATCCGTTGAGAAGATGAGTGATGAGACCAGTAAACAATGCCCCGAGATAGATTAGTCCATCACTAACATTGTTGTGGTGCATCTTCGTACGCAAGAAGACCGTCATCGCGATAAATGAAATCAATACAAGCTAAGCACATAGAAGAAGAGAGCACGTAAATTGCACAACTGTAGAAAAATTTTAGGATCACCACTGAAGTCTGGTTAAGTACCGACCTGGGACAGTTTGAAGAAGTAAACGAATGAGTTCCTCTTCATCAGCAAATACTCTCTTGCGAAGCATGCTTTCAGAAGCTCCATCTTGTTGATGCCATATCTTGTGGTTGTTAAAGCGGCAGGATGGTTCTTGCTCCTCTCAAAAGGGCTGCTGAGTTCTCCTGCCAGTCTACGGCCAACATGGAATGAATGGAAGGCATCTGCAAAATCCTTGACTGGGATAAAACGATATGGCTCATCACTATGCGCCCAGTATTGCTGTTGATCTTTCTTGGATGTCACCTATGGATATTGGTTTCGGATGATGTTCAGGAAATTTTCAAGGTTACTTACAAACAGATCCCCCATAATTTTGCCCAATTGCAGATGGATCCCTTGTAGTTCTATTGTTGTGAATAGACCCCTGTACTACTGCCCAAATGTGGATGGACTCCCTGAGTGAAATATTTTTACTCTTTTACACTCAAAAGGTCTAGTTGTCAAAAAATAAATTTCTCTATGAGGGTGGTATCTATCTGCAACAACAGAACTACACGGGGTCAGCAATTGGGCGATTGCATAGGGCGTCTAGCCGTAATTAGCCCTATTATCAGTTGCTTTAAAAGAACATTATTTCTGCAGACTATAAGTTCAATACTCACTTCCTGCAAGAAGTCAGCAACACCTTTCCTCTCTGGACATTTGAAGCCCATAGATTCAAAAAACTCCACGATATGTTCACGGGGACCCTGATACACAATCTGCCCTTCTGAGAGGAGAACTATGTCATCAAAGAGGTCATAGGTCTCAGGAGCTGGCTGAAGCAAAGCTATAAGTGCAGTGCCACCGAGGATGTGAATAGATTGTCTAAGAGAGTTCACAATTTGGTATGTGGTGGAGCTGTCGAGCCCTGTGGATATCTCGTCCATGAAGAGTGCCCGTGATGGTCCAACAAGCATTTCGCCTGTAAACGAGTTTTTTTAATATATAGATGAGCATATTACTTGAAACAAACACATAGAAATTAGAAAATTATGATTCAGTTGCTCTTTGCTTCGAGAATTTGACCTGTTGTTACTCTCTTCTTTTGCCCTCCAGAGATACCCCTAAACATATTGTCTCCAACCATGGTATCAGCACAGATATCCAATCCCAAGATCTGCAATTTTTTAGGAAAGAAATGTACCAAGAACTAGTGGTGTGCAACATGAAAGGCAATACATTGTCTACATTTTTAGGACATCGGTCAAGATTAGATCCTTGGTGACATTATTTCTGATCTTGCAATTTATATAGTTTTAGTGATTAATGCTCTATTTATAAAATTTAAGTTTGCTTTTGAAAGTTGATACAAGGAAGGCTTATAATTTATTGCATTGGAAATTTTTGGAGCAAGTTTTGGAGGATCTTCTCTTCTCTAAACAGTTTGCTACTTGATTGATGCTATGTGTCTCTACTGCACAGTTTTCTCTATTCTATAATGGTGAGTTTAATTGGTATTTTTAGGGCAAGAGAGGACTGAGACAAGGGCACCTATATCACCTTATCTGTTTGTTTTTTGTGTGGAGTATTTGTCTAGATAGTTAAGGAGGTTACTAAGTTACTTAGTTGGGGTAATTTCGACTTTCATCTAAACTGTTATAAACTGGGGATTACTCGATCTTGCAGTTGATCTTCTTCTCTTTGCCGGGTCTGATAGAATTTCAGCTCAGTTTTTATATCAACGGCTTATGCACTTTTTCTCAAGCTTCTGCATTGGTTGCTAATGCTTCTCGACTAAGTATCTTTTTGGGTAAATGGATGAAACTATTAACTGGAGATTCTATCTGATTCTGGTTTTGTAGAAGGTAAGCTCCGTGCTGAGTACCTTGTTCTGCCGCAGAAAACTGTGTAAATATCAATGTCCGATAATGTTGGGGATTCGAAACAATCAATCGAACCCTTGCCCTTCCGGACCTTGTGTTGAAAGTAGGAAAGTAGGAATAAACCACAAATAAAGATCTAACCTTGTAAAAAACAGTAAAAGAGACGAACACACAGATTTAACGAGGTTCGGCAACGTGCCTACGTCCTCGGGAGCCACACCACACAATCTTTCTATTAATTGAAGAAGAAAATACAAGCTCTCAAACAAGGGGTAAATCTCTCTGAGATTCTCTCTCTCTTAGCAGCCAAAAAGCTCTTTTTGATGTCCTTACAAACCCTAGAAACGTTTGGGTATTTATAACAAACCCCAGCAGAACAGGATTCCTAGATAAAATAGGAAACAGCGAATCTGCGTCACGGTCGACCGCTTTGCCAAGGTCGGTCGACCGGTCAGAACGACGAAATCCTACAGGGTCTTGTGCACGATATCGGTCGACCGCAGCGACCATGCCGGTCGACCGGCCAGAGCGAAAACTTCTTCTCAGTCTCCTGCAGTGCACGCGGTCGACCGGCTCTGCCACTGCGGTCGACCGCACAGTCTTCTGACTGTTTTCTTCGTCTTTTCGATTGCAGCTTTGGGTCTACACACTTAGACTAACAATCTCCCACTTGGAGACCAAAGCGTCATCAACGAGCTCACCCGAACTCTCCCCTTCTTCGCATGTATCTTTTCCCCCGAAAAATTCTTTCTTCAATCAACATCCCGACGATCGCGCCGATCCTCGTAGTGTGGCTCCGCCTTCGTCTTCTACTCGTGAAGGCCAACTGAAGTTGCGCACAACTCCAGTTTCTCAATGGTGACTGCCTTCGTCAACATGTCCGCCGGATTTTGACTCCCCAAAATCTTCATTAAGTGCAACTTTCCGTCCTCGATCAGCGAGCGTATAAAATGGTATTTAACGTCGATGTGCTTCGTTCTGGCATGATATACTGGATTCTTGGCAAGATGTATAGCGCTCTGGCTATCACAATAAAGAACTCCTCTCCCTTGCTTCAGATCCAACTCTTCCAAGCACCCGTTCAACCAGATCATCTCCTTGCTTGCTTCAGTCACCGCGACATACTCAGCCTCGGTTGTAGACAAAGTCACAATCTTCTGCAGACGTGAGACCCAGCTCACTGCTGTCGACGCTAAGGTATAAACATACCCCGTGGTGCTTCGCCTCGTATCATGATCACCGGCGAAGTCCGCATCCACGTATCCCTGCAGCACCAACTCCTTCCTCCTGAAACATAGTGGCTTGTTCGTTGTTCCCCTCAAGTACCGCATTATCCACTTTACGGCCTCCCAATGCTGCTTTCCTGGATTGCTTGCAAATCTGCTCACAACTCCCACTGCATGGGCGATGTCCGGCCTCGTGCAAACCATCGCGTACATGAGACTCCCAATGGCTGAAGAATATGGCACCCTGCTCATATGCTCTCTATCTGCATCTGTCTTAGGCGATTGCTCCTCAGATAACTTGAACTGACTTCCAAGGGGTGTGCTAACAACTTTAGCATTCTGCATGTTGAACCTCTGAAGTACCTTCTCAATGTATTCAGCTTGGCTCAAACTCAATGTCCCTTCAGCTTCATCCCTACTGATTCGCATCCCTAGAATCTGCTTCGCTGCACCCAGATCCTTCATTGCAAATTCCTTTGCTAGCTGCCTCTTCAAACTGTTTATCTCTTCTAAACACGGTCCTGCTACCAACATGTCATCAACATATAATAACAAAATAATGAAGCTGGACTCGAACCTTTTGAAATAACAGCAATGATCCGAATTGCATCTTCTGTAGCCATTGTTCTGCATGAAGTTATCAAACTTCTTATACCACTGTCTCGGAGCCTGTTTCAAACCATATAAGCTCTTCTTGAGCTTGCACACCATCTCTTCCTTTCCTTCTTCAATGAAGCCAACAGGCTGCTTCATGTAGATTTCTTCATCCAAGTCACCATGAAGAAAGGCAGTCTTCACATCTAACTGCTCAAGGAAGAGGTCTTCTGCAGCTACCAAACTCAACACCACTCTGATGGTTGTGAGTTTCACAACAGGGGAAAATATCTCCGTGTAGTCCACTCCTTCCCGCTGTTGAAACCCTTTCACTACTAATCTGGCCTTGAATCTCTTGCTTCCATCACTCTCCTGCTTGACCCGGTAGACCCATTTATTGTGCAAGGCTTTCTTCTGTGCAGGTAGCTGGGCTAACTCCCATGTCTCATTAGTGAGTAGAGAATCCATCTCCTCCTGCATCGCATGCTCCCACTGCTGAGATTCACTCACTTGCACTGCCTCTTCATAACACTCCGGCTCTCCGCTATCTGTTAAGAGTAGATAATCAAGTGACGAGAGGTATTTGGGATTTGGTTTTCAGAACAAACATCATCACCCCTATCTGGAAGTTCCTCTATATCCATGTACTCGGATCCACCTGTATCCGTAGTGCTGCTCCCACTGCTTTGGCTATCCTTGGCATTGTCCCTGTCCTTGTACATCACCTCCTCATTGAATATCACATCCCGGCTCCTGATGATCTTCCTGTTCTTCTCATCCCAAAGGCGATACCCGAACTCATCAATGCCGTATCCAATGAATGTGCACTTCTGTGACTTAGCTTCTAGCTTGTCCCTGACATGGTCACTGATATGAACATAAGCCACGCAACCAAATACCCGCAAGTGTGAGAGATTTATCTTCTTTCCACTCCAAACCTCCTCTGGAATCCCAAAATCTAATGGAACTGATGGCCCGTGATTAATAAGGTAAGCTGCTGTATGTACCGCATCCGCCCAAAATGTCTTAGGCAGACCTGCATGTAATCGCATGCTCCGCGCACGCTCTGTCAAGGTCCTGTTCATCCTCTCTGCAATGCCGTTCTGCTGCGGCGTCCCTGGAGTAGTCCTCTCTAAGCGAATCCCATTCGTAGCACAGAACCTCTTGAACTCCTCCAGCTCGTATTCTCCACCATTATCTGATCTCAAGCACTTCACCTTCAGTTCTGTCTCGTTCTCGACCATGGCCTTCCACTTCTTGAAGATCTCGAACACCTCTGACTTGTGCTTCATGAAGTAAACCCACACCTTCCTCGAGTGATCGTCGATAAAGGTGACGTAGTATCTCGAACAGCCAAGACACACTGGCTGGGCCCCATACATCTGTATGAATCAACTCTAGCTTCTGAGCCTTAGGTGGCCTTCCACCCTTCTGGAAACTAACCCTCTTCTGCTTCCCAAAGATGCAGTCTTCACAAACCCCGACTTCCACGGTGTCGATCCCGGTTAGCTTTCCTTGTGAATGTAGAATTTTCATCCCTTTCTCGCTCATGTGCCCCAGCCTATTGTGCCACAGATCTGTACTCTCCTTGCCAGCTGCAATTGCGAGGGTGTCACTCGCATGTGAAGTGAGGTAGAGAGTTCCTGTTTTATTGCCTCGGGCAACAATCATCGTACCGTTGGAGATTCTCCACGAATCCCCGGTGAATGTCGAAACGTAGCCTTCTGCTCCAAGCTGTCCCACCGAAACAAGATTCCTCTTCAGCTTCGGCACGTGTCTCACGTTCTTCAAGTTCCACTTAGAGCCCTTTATCTGTATCTGAACGTCGCCCTTTCCAACAATATTGCAAGGTTCATTGTCCCCCAAGTATACTTTACCAAAGTCCCCTGCTACATAGTTCTGAAGTAGTTTCCTATTAGCAGTGGCGTGGAAAGAAGCTCCTGAGTCGATGACCCAAGAATCAGAATCGCTATCCATAGCAAGGATCAAGGCATCCTGCACGATATGAGCCTCCTGCTCACCCGCATCCTTCTTTGGTGCTTTACAGACCGAAGACATATGGCCCTCCTGGCCGCAGTTCCAACACCTCCCTTTGATAGACCTAACCTTCGAGTTCGGCCTCTTCTTCACTGATTTCGACCGATTCCTGTTCTGGTTCCCTTTCTTCTGGCTTCTGCCTCTCTGCTCGAAACTTAGGGCTGAACCTGAACCTTCTGATTCGGACGATTTTCTTCTAACCTCCTCGGATAGAATCATGCTAACAACCTCATTCAGCTTCAACTTCTCTTTCCCCGCCGAATTGCTGATTGCCGTCACACAACCTGCCCAACTATCCGGCAACTGCGATAGTAGTAGAAGGGCCTGCACTTCGTCATCGAACGTGATGTCCACGGAGATAAGTTGATCAACAATCGTGTTGAACTCGCTGAGGTGCATCGTGAAGGACCGTCCTTCTGCCATCTTGAGGTTGAAAAGAGTTTTGACTAGATGCACCTTGTTTGCTGCCGACGGTTGCTCGTACATCTTCGCGAGCGCTTCCATAAGCCCCACCGTCGTCTTCTCCTTCAGAATATTGTGGGCTACTGATTTGGCGAGCGACAACCGGATTTGCCCTAGAGCCTTCCTATCCAGTACCTCCCAATCACCATCTGACTCCGTCGTCTTCTTTCCCTTTTCTTTGCCCAGAAGTGGGCGATACAAGTCCATCTGGTACAGATAGTCCTCCATCTGCGACTTCCAGTAGGCGAAATCCGATCCGTCGAACTTCTCAATCTTTGATTTGCTTTCCTCTGCCATGGCTTTCGCGGTCGACCGCCGTGCCAAGGCCGGTCGACCGGCCAGAGAAAAATCTGTTTACAGGGTCCTGTGCACATTTGCGGTCGACCGCAGCGGCCACGCCGGTCGACCGACCAGAGCGAAAACTTCTTCTCAGTCTCCTGCAGTGCACGCGGTCGACCGGCTCTGCCACTGCGGTCGACCGCACAGTCTTCTGACTGTTTTCTTCGTCTTTTCGATTGCAGCTTTGGGTCTACACACTTAGACTAACAGATAAAACTTTATCAAGGATTCATAGTTGATCTGCTAAAAAGTTATCCTATGCTGGTAGGATTACTTGCTGAAATCAGTGTTATTTGGGGTGCAAGTTTTTGTACTAGTGGGTTTCGTTTACCGAAAGCAGTGTTGAGGTCTATTGATTCTGCTTGTAGAAAGTATATTTGGCAGGGAAGGGATTGAAATCAGAAAATGGCTTTGATTTCTTGGGTGGATATGTGCAAACCGAATAGATCAGGTGGATTGGATGGGCTTATATATCATGTTGAAGGTTGGTATGTGGCTTCCTTACCCAAAGTTATTTGGAAAGCGCAATGTAAGAAGGATTATCTGTTGATTAAATGGGTGAAACCGATTTGACACATTATCATATCTTAGATTGTTGACACAAGATAGATTGGAAAGAATGGGGATTGTACATCAAAATAAATGTCTTCTTTGCCGACATTTTCCTGAAAGTGTCGAATCTATCGATCATTTTTTTAATAAAGTCGTTCTAATATCCCTTCTCATTGTGTTATGTACCTTTTATGAGGACTTATCAGTAGTATATTCATTTGAATTAAGGTGTTTCTGAGGTACAAAACTTTATATGTGGTGTTTTTGTGAATCCTGTTTGAGTGGTTCTTGGATTCACTGAGGTATGCCTGAGTGAAAAATGTACCTACTGTCATCATTAGTGAAATTCACTTCACTTACCAAGAAAAAAGTTGTTTGCTTCAGAATTCCGATATGTTGTGTGCAAGAGAAAAAGATCATATGTTCAATGATTTACCTTCAGAATGTAGTCTGTGACTACAGTCTCCTGTCCTTCTAGTGAAGTTGCCTGCGTAGAATTAGAAAGAGTAAAGATTAAGCAAATGTTCAACTATATTAATTCATCGAAATGGCCATGTCAAAAGGAAGTTGTTGGTTATGAACAGATATTGGTTGGTTTATTAGAGAGCTCTTATCTTTTGAATGATAAGTAAGAGCACTTTATTTCTGTGAAAATTTGTTGTTGAGCCTCATGGTCGTCTGATGATGATCAGGTGATTGAAATTGTTGGATTTATCACAGTTTTTCCCCCCTTTTCTTTTCTTTAAAGACGAACCTCATTTATTGTGTCGGATACTCTTATATGCAAAGACGTGGCACTAATTTTCTTAGAGGATCTAAGCTTAAACTTATGCTTTCCAGGTTTTGTTCAGCATTTAACCACAACTCTGTTTTCAATCCTTTACTTTCTTATTTTGATTCAAACTTCATACGGTCAGGTAAATACTGCGATCTTTATGATTTTTCTTTCCTTTTGCATCTTTTTTCTAGAGACTGCAGTAATAGCAACATAGTACCAAAAATTTTGATCCATAATAGTGAAATCTTATAGTTGGTGATTGTACCTTCATGAACATATCAATATCAGGATCTGGCCTGATGTTTGCCGCCTTCTCTCGCCTCGATAGCTCAGTCAACATTTCTGGAGTTCATCACGAAAACATACTGAATCCTGCTTGGAGGAAAAAGAAACTGACTTTCAAGCTAAGCTCAGCTAGCAGAAACTTACCGTATCGAGTTCCAACCCCCTGACATCTTGCAGAGAAAGCCAATGTCTCTCTCACAGTCATCTCGCCTATATGCAGATCATGCTGACTTATATAAGCCGATGTCCTCTGAGGCACAAACTCGTTCATCCCATGCCCATTGTAAGTCACTTCCCCAGAAACCTGAATCCGACAAGAAAATGTTAGCAATCATCGATAAATTCAGTTTTCAACTTCCCTGAAAGTGAGTTACTTACCTTCAGTTCAGGGTTTAGTTTTCCTGCCAAAGCCAGAAGCAAAGTTGTCTTTCCAGAGCCAGGAGGTCCTAAAAGCATGGTCATTCTGCAAAAGAGTTCGAGTTCAGCAAGAAAACATAACATATATTCATGTAATTTTTTGATTTTTCAAGATCCATTTTTCACCTGCTGGGCTTGATGATTCCACTGATATCGTGCAGGATGCCTACCGGCCTCTTTCGACTTGGAATAATATGCAGAGCGTTAAGCAATCCCTCGATATTGTTCCTAAAGAAATTGAGCGCAGTAGGGACTCCTCTATCTCCAACATAAGCTTCTGCGACGACATCCAGATTCTCGAATCTAACCTCAATTGTCGGATTCTCAATCCCAACACTTCAAGACAACAAAACAACCAGAAGCAAATCAGCAATAACGAGCGCATGCATAAAAGCGTAAATTTATCCTACATAAAATCTAGTAACCTTACCGGTCCAGTCGGTTCTTGAGCTTGAGCAAGAACCTCTCATTGTCCTCCTCTGCAACTCGAACAAGCCTCTCCATGAGCTTCTTCTTATCTCCAATACCGAGCTCTGCGACATCAATCTCTCTCCCTTCGTTGATCCCCTTCCGAACACGGTTGAATGTTGGTAGTCTTTCAAGGGCAGCCCACTTGAGGGCCTCCTCGTCTTCTTCGTATCTTGACGATTGAGAGAATACATCTCTGCGAGCACTTGCGCTTCGCCATGGCATGCTGCTCCCATCCATCGACAAGAAACCTTCCGATTAGACAAACGGATAAAAATTCAGAATATTGATTGATTTGGGAGTCATCTCATCTCAATGGAAAGCATTGGTTTGGCTTGTTTTTGTCGGCAAAGACTGGAGCGAAGGGATACAAGGAAGTTTGAAAAAATAAAAATAAATAAAAATATAAATTAAAAAATAATAATAAAGGAAGGAAGGAAGATAATTGATTCTACCAACGGATCCGGAAAAAAACATGTGCTCCCCCTCCTTATAAAACAATCTTATGCTTCCATCTCCTAAATTTTAAAAAATCCATTTGGAGTCTACTTTGTCTCCACTGGTATTTTTTTTGAAAAAAAATCCTAGGGGGTGCACGTCTTTTTTTTTTTTTCCTCCCCATCCTCTCTTTATTTCTTTCATTTCTGACCGATGCTTAATTATGACGGAAGTATTAAATGCAAGAAGTTGGTGCAAAAAGTAGGGATATGGAATTTTCATAACATGGAAAAGAGCTTGCAGCTTTATGATCAGTTTGTTTGGGTCCTACGAATATGGAATTTTCATAACATGGAGGTTTGTAATCTTAGCAAGCTTTCATGAGGCATATGTACTAGTCCGTATGTTCCAAGCGATGTCACTGCGACGATGAGAGCAGGTGATTGAAGCGTGAGCAGAGCACCCCCACTCACGTGCTGTTGGGGGGTTTGGTTTAAGTCTTGAGTTATTCAGAACATAATAATAACCAAAATGAGGTAGCTTTTAAATGAAAGTTGCTACCAAAATGAGGTAGCAACCATAATACATGTTGTTGAGGAGTTTCGTGCTAGAAGTTGACTTTCCTTATTATTGAATGAACAACTGGTTTCAAACCGCTCATTATTTAAATAGACGAATATCGCGTGTCTGTAATTTTTTATGCACCAAAGGAGATCCCAACTGCTCATTATACAACATCATAATTCACAACAATATAGCCACACAAGAGGAGCTCAAAAAATAAAATCACACAAAAGGCTTTAAAAATTTGTGAAAAAACAACCTAACTAACTCCAGCATATTAGAATTGCATTATCAAGAAACAGATGTGACGTATTACTGAATTGTCTAGGGAAAAAAAAAAGAAGAAGAACGAATGAATGTGCTTTAGATATCACGTCTGCAAAGTTGGCAAGAGCCATGCCCGATAATCTAGCTTCTTTCCAAGATATTACCGGCGAAACATGTGCTAACACTACAATAAGGCACACACATTGCCATTTCTCCTACTTCATATATATTTTGCTTTTAAGTCATTTTCTCCCTCTATTCCAAAGCCAACTCTAACCCTTTTGTGCATCCCCCTAGCAGTAATGCATCTAAATGTTGGGAATTATCCGTCGGGGCTACGGAAAACCCCTAAAACAACAGAAACACGGTATAAAAAAGTACACCAAGATTTAACGAGGTTCGGCAACTGCCTACGTCCTCGGGAGCCACACAATTAATTTTTTATTAATCAACAAGAAATCACAAAGCAAGAGAAGATCTCAAACTTGAGATCTCTCAATAAATGCTAATTATCACTGTAGCTACAGTAATAAAATCCCCTTCTAAAATACCAATTCCCTCTCTCTCAAATTCTCTCTTTTATTAAATTCCCTTCCTCAAAATCTTGTGAGCTGGATGAGAAAAAGAGAGAGATCGCGAGAGAGGAGAGAGAGAGAGCCACCGCCAGAGGGGAAAACGAGCGAGAGAGAGAGAGAAGAAGCAGCGCCAGCTTCTCGAGCTCTGGGTTTCCCTTTTATAGGGAAACCCTAGGGCTAGCTATCGACAGGCTGTCGACAGCTTGGAGCGCCAACCTCGCTTGCGAGCGCCCTCGCTCGACCTCGCCTAATCACGCTTGAGTTTGCCTGCGGAAGTTCCTTGAGCTCGCCTGCGTGGAGTTCCTCGAGCTCGCCTGACTCGCCCAAACTCGTCCGCCACGACCTCGCCTGCTCGAGCTCGCCTAACTTCGTCGAGCTCTCCTGGTCAACGCTCGAGCTCGCCTGCAACCCTTTAATCTTTTATGTACCTTGGTGTTCCTAACTGTCCACTGATTTTGGATTGATCCCCGGTATGGTAATACATATAAGACAGTAGTAGTGTAACCCCATACGGTTGATCTTTTGTACCCGCTTCAAGATATAATAATTAGTCAAAGATTATTAATCTTGGGATAAACAGTTTACACTGCTTATGTTTATATTCTTGTACATAGGGAATGGGATTTTATCTTCTTACTGCAAATTTCTAAGCAGTTTGGTTTTACTCATATAACTATCTAGTTTAACTCAAGCAGTTTGGTTTTACTCATATAACTATCTAGTTTAACTCATCGACCCTAATGATGAATAAAAAATTAATTTGTCGAAACCTCGCATGCACTTAGGTTTGGATCTACGCCCAAACTAACAATCTCCCACTTGGAGACCAAACCGTCGTTAGCAGGCTATCTCAACAAACACTTACTCATGTGTGGCTCAGCCCTCATCACTTATGCATGAAGGCTAACCGTAGTTGTGCACAACTCCAATTTCTGAATGGTCACCGTCTTTGTTAACATATCTGCTGGATTCTTACTTTCTGGAATCTTTTCCAGTTTTAACACGTCATCTTCTAACAGTGATCTGATAAAGTTGTACCGAAGCCCAATATGCTTCGTGTAGGACCCTAGAGGGGGGTGATTAGGGTCAAGAGGCTCTAATATGCAATTTAAAAACTCAGCACAAGCAAACCACAAAAATAACAATCTACACAAGAGAGGTTACTTTAGCAACTTCTTGTTTCAATTAATCAATTGGAGTGAGAGACAACATTAATACCTTCGTGTCATAATATTTGAATTAAATAATTGATTAAAAACCAAATTAGATTTAAATTTTAATTTAAATCAACTGAATTTCTAAAAACTTAATTGGGGTCTCACAGCTTAATTAGGGCCCATAACTTAATTGAATAAATTAAGTATACCAAAGTGGACCCATGAAAAGCCGAGGCTTAACCATAGTGAACACACGAACGCGAGGTTCGTCTGAAGCACGAACGCGAGGTTCGTCTGAAGCACGAACGCGAGGTTCGTCTGAAGCACGAACGCGAGGTTCGTCTGAAGCACGAACGCGAGGTTCGTCTGAAGCACGAACGCGAGGTTCGTCTGAAGCACGAACGCGAGGTTCGTCTGAAGCACGAACGCGAGGTTCGTCTGAAGCACGAACGCGAGGTTCGTCTTAAGAACGAACGCGAGGTTCGTCTGAAGCACGAACGCGAGGTTCGTCTGAAGCACGAACGCGAGGTTCGTCTGAAGCACGAACGCGAGGTTCACCTTAGAACGAACGCGAGGTTCGTTAAAATTGAGCTTGACGCTCACCTGAGTTGAGCGCGAGGCTCACATGAGAACGAACGCGAAGTTCATTAAAATTGAACTTGACGCTCACCTGAGTTGAGCGCGAGGCTCACATGAGAACAAACGCGAAGTTCGTTAAAATTGAGCTTGACGCTCACCTGAGTTGAGCGCGAGGCTCACATGAGAACGAATGCGAAGTTCGTTAAAATTGAGCTTGACGCTCACCTGAGTTGAGCGCGAGGCTCACATGAGAACTGAACGCGAAGTTCGGTTAAATTTGAGAACGAACGCGAGGTTCGTTTGAGGTAACCACCTCCTTAATTTTCACCACGTTTCACGCACGAACCCTTAGGGTTTCAAACTGAAACCGCTGCCATTAAATCAAAAAATAGATCTAGAATCAAAAAATGAGTTTTTCTTGATCCAGATCCAAGAAAAAACCGCCGAAAAAGCCAAAAAAAAATTTCAAAAAGTTACTGTTCACCGCCGCCTTTTCAGTTACTGTTCACCTGAAAAATTTTCGTTACTGTTCATCCGAACAAAAAACTTTACTGTTCATCCGAAAATTTTCGTTACTGTTCAGCCGAACAAAAAATTTTCTGTTTATCCGAAAAACAAAACTGAATCTTTAACCAGAGATTTAAGATCAAAAAACCCAATAAAACTTAAATCCCTAAGAATTAATCAAGGTGGTTCTGATACCACTTGTTAGATCTAAATCAAAACTTAAGATCTAAAACCATATAGCCATGATTAATTCAAAGAGATTAACAATAATCTAAAAGAGCGTAAAAGAGCGGAAGCTTATACCTGAATCCATTGCTTGATCTTGAGATGGGTTTTGATCTTCTAACCTTAGAGTTCTCTCTAGCCGAATTCTCTCTAGATGGGGGTGAAGAGAATTAGAGAATGTAACCCTAGGTTAGGGACCATAACCCATTATTTATAGATGTTGTACATTTGTAATTTGACCCCTCAACAAATCACAATTACAACCTGGTATCTGCATATATAACCCCATGACGTATTTAAATACCCATTAACCCAACTTAATTGATCACTTTAGTGGGTTATCCTGAAAGATAGCAATACACATTGATTAATCATATGTGCCCACAAATAGATTTATTAGATTAAATCCAACAAGAGAAGATGAAATGGTTAAAAATGAAATTATGGAGAATAGAAAAAGGAGATGAGAAGAAAAAGAATCACCATCTTGTGGTGAGATTAATTACGCCTAGTTGATGGTAAACCTTAATCATAATAGGTTTTAATGAATGCTGGTATTTATTTCTCCTCTTTAATAGAGAAAGTGAACAATTGAAATTGATCAGTATCATACTCCCTTTTTAAAAAAAGAGTTGTGGAAAAACTTTTCATGGATTATATGTCCCTATTCTTTTTTGATATTATATTCTAAGCATAAATTAACTAAATTAATTATCATTATTAATTAATCATATTACATGCCACTACAATTTTGTCTAACTTGGCCCTAAAACTTCCAATGTTATTGTAAAACTCTCATATTAATTATTAATAATGCATAATACTATATTGATAGACAATTGCAAGTTAATAAATTATTTTGGAATGAGTATAAAATATAGAATTGTCCTAAAATTATATCGTGACATTCACATAGGAAAATTATAAAGAGTATTATTGCGTACATAAGTACAAATATACAATTTTAGAAAATATTAGGATATCTAAGTGCATTAAGATATAAGTGGAGGTATATGAGTGTAACTTTCGTAAGTTATAAGCTATTTATGTTTAATTAAGTCTATAAAGATTTGAAGCCTTTGTTAAACACAATCAATAGTATGTGATCCCTTTGATAAATAATATACATCGTATAATATGAGGCTAGTGGCTTAGCTTATATTTATATAGTACAGAAGATTTGAAAATTTTTAAGCATCATATTTTGAATAAGTCTCAATATTTTGAATTATAAATGAAATTATATACTTCGATTAGAATCATATCATCATACTCTCTTTAAAAGAGGAAGTTATAGAAAAAACTTTCTATGGATTATATTACCCCTATTTTTTAAATATTATATTTTAATCCTAATTTACTAAATTAATTATTATTATTAATTAATTATATTATATGTCACTTCAAGTTTGTCTAACCCGGTCCCTAAAACTTCCAATGTTATTGTAAAACTCTCATATTAATTATTAGTAATGTCTAATAATATATTAACAGACAATTACATGTTAATGAATTATTAATGGAAATAGTAAAAAATATAGAATTATCCTAAAATTATATTATTATATTCATATAGAAAAATTACAAATAGTATTTTTGCGTATAGAAGGAACATACATGCAATTTTAAAAACATTAGAATATTTAAGTGTAGCAAGATACAAGTGGTGATATATAATTAAAACTTTTATAAACTGTAAGATATTTAATTTATTTAATCCAATAAAGATTTAAAGCCTTTGTGAACCACAAGCAATAGTATGTAATCCCTTTGATAAATAATATTCATCTTATAATATGAGGTCAGTGGGTTAGCTTGTATTTATATACTAGAGGAAATGTGGGCAAATTAAAGCATCATATTTTGAATAAGCTTAAGATTTTGAATTATTTCTAAATTTATATAATTTGCTTAGAAAACTTTAGAAGAGGCTTTTGAAGGACTACTACAAAGTGTTTAGCATTATATAAATATTGGATAAATAAAATTCATGATATTAGATTGCAATAACCGGGGTTATGGAAAAAATATTTGGGTATCATATGAGATAATGCTCATACATAATATAACATTTTAATCTACAATCTCATATATTGATGAATTTTAACATAAGAATTTGCGTCAAGATATATGCTTGAGATTTGAGAAAGTTAAGAGTGGAGAGATTTGGGATATGAATTGTGGCTTTTGTGATTTGTGCTTTAGTTTTGGTTTCCAAACACGACCTACTACCAAGCCCACAATCAAATTAAAAATGAATCGATTTTGTTATACCAGCCAATATTTTCGATAATGATCAATATATGGGGAAAAAATTCCCAAATAAAAAAATAATATAAAACCATAAATATTATTAAGATAATGTATTTAACCTTTTATATCAGTCGATAGAGCGATATATCGGCCAATATTTCATATATTGCTTATAAGAGCAATATTTAAAGGTAATTTAGATAGCATTTCATTGATTTTAAATCTCCAATAATTCTACATTATTCTCTTAAAATTTAAAATTGCTTATAATTTAGGTACTAATATAGAATTATAAAATATTTGAGCTAAATTTAAAAGAATAGTTAATTCTTTGAAAACTCTCTCAAGTATGGAGAATGTCTTAAAAAAACCACTCAACTAATTTAATTTGACAGGGCCTCCTCACTATAGAGGTGTTGTAGATAATCCCTCTCAAACTTGGTACGATTTTAGAAAACACCATTCGACTTAGTGTGTCTTATGAAAACTCTCCTGGTCTTTTACACATCTCTTAACAAACCCCTTAATGTAAAAGACTTTAATAAGTAATTTTGTCAAAATGCCCTATTAAAGAAAGCCATTTTAGTTAAAAGAAACTCTCAACCGATAATAGAATGATTACAATCAATTTACAATTCTTTTTAACTCTAAATATTCATTTTTTTTTATCTAGCAAAAAACCAAACTAATTCTTTTATGGTTGAGGGATATTTTGGTCTTTCCAAGTCAAGTACTTATCACATAATGAATTCGACTCAATGATTTTATCTTTGAAGGGTTAATTGAGAAAAGTTTATAAGGTTAAATCAAAATTTTAAAGTTGAGATAGATTAACTATAACACCCCAAATTTGACAAACAAATATTTACTCATTTAAAGTAGTTAGTTTTTTTTTTTTTTTGGGGGGGGGGGGGGGCTTTTAAAAATATTTTTTTTTTTTTTTTTTTGGGGGGGGGGGAGGGCATTTTTTAACATTTCCCTCATAGTTGAGGGGATGTTTTCTAAAATTAACCCTTAAAAAGTACAATTTAAAACACATATGACATCAATCTTATAAGAGTAGATTTTATAGCAAATTTATCAGTATCTCTGAAAATCTTTTGCTACAACATTCGCAGAGAAGAAATTTAATCTTTATTTGGTATGACTATGTGATCCTTATGGTTCTCCTTATCTTTTATGATTTGTAATAAATTATTTAACAAAATAATTTAAGTTGTTCATTTTATATGTCTCACCTTTATGAATCATGGGTGTTATTAGATTCTTTTAACTCTTTAGCTTAATTTTTTGGATATTATTCAATATTGGATAGATCTATATTATTTTGTTAAAATATAATCCATATGTGTACAAAATATGTTTAAATCATTCTCAAATGATATTTTATAGTTTTCTAAAATTAGAGAGTAATCATTTTGACAAATTAATTAATTAGTTGATAAGGTGTAAGAATATTATAATATCAAATTTTGGAATTGATCACATAATTTATATTTTCTTTCTTGATTGAATTTGCACATTCTAACTTTGAAAATATTGATCACATAATTTATATTTTCTTTCTTGATTGAATTTGCACATTCTAACTTTGAAAATTCTATAAAATGGTTTTTGAATATCTATAATACTCGTCTTGATTGAATTTGCACATTCTAACTTTGAAAATTCTATAAAATGGTTTTTGAATATCTATAATACTCGGTCGTCAGATAATAGAAAGTGTAAGTAGACAATAGGTGTAAGTGGTTTCTTTATAAACCATCTTTATATTTTGCCCAGAGTAAAAAATAATCATGGCTACGCCACTAGGGATGGTGGTCATGGGACGGTGGTGGTGTTTTGAGGTGGGATTCTAGAGAGAATTGAGAAGGGAAGGAAAAGAGGAGATAAGGTGGATAGAGTTAGGTTTAGGTCAGACTTTGGGGAGGAAGAAGATGGAGAAACATAATTGAAAACCTTTATAACTTGAAAAAATTGCTTTTTCAATTTTCTCATTTTTTTTCGAGTTCTTTAAAAATGGGTTCAAAAAAAGAAGGTCGTTTTCGGGGAGACCCAAAAGGTAGTTCTGCTTCCTTTCCCTAGATTGTTAAAAAACAAAAATTGTCTCTTTTCTCCTTTTTCTTTATTTTCTGATCTCGATGATGAGATCGTATTTTAGATCTTCTCCAAGGTTTCAGACAGAAGGGAAATAAAATCTTTATTTGAATACCGTCTGTTAACCAATTTTGGGGAAATTCTGTTTCTGATAATTGAACGCCATTATAGGTCAATATGGATATTTTAGTAAAAAAGTATCAATTGTAAAGATGTATATAAATAAATGTGATTTTGATAAAAAAACTTTAAAAAATAATAAGTATCAATTTAGATACAAGTATGGATTGATTTTGATATGAAAACCCTTATAATTACGCAAGTTCTAGTCAAGATGGAAAACGGACGTGTCCGTTGTTCTGGGCTCTAGCCCCAATTGGCGGACGCCATATATAAAACCCTGTACTGACCCGACCCGTCCCAACCCGACCCGATCGCCACCCGAGTCTTCAACCTCTTCACAAAAACCCTAAAAACCTTCTCTCTCCCAAAACCCTAAAACCCTCTCGCTGCTCTCAATGGCGACCACCAGCGAGGCGCCATCGGAGTTCGTCAAATCAGTAAAGTTCAGCTTCTACTCACCTGAAGACGTCAGAAACCTAAGCGTCAAAAGGATCACCAGCCCCGAACTCCTCGATGCCAAAGGCTTGCAAGTCCCCGACGGATTCTACGACCCTGCACTTGGTCCTATAAACGAGATCGATTCGTAAGTTCAAAGAGCAATCTTTCGATTTTTTTGAATCTCTTTCTGGTATATTTTTGTTAGTTTCTTAAATTTTTTTCGCAGCTGCAAAACCTGCGGTCAGCTCGCCTATAAGTGCCCTGGTCACTGTGGCCATATTGAACTAGTGAAACCAGTATTCAATCCTTTGCAATTTAATAGTCTTAAGAGTCTCCTTCACATAACTTGCTTCTTTTGCCATCGGTTTCGATTCAGCACAGAAAAGGTAATAATAACATCCCTTCGCTTTTATGAGATTACACAAGTTACCCATTATTAATTCACGTACATAATGTTTTCAGGTTCAACATTATGTTGCCAAGCTAACCCATATAGCAAAAGGCGATATTCTTGCAGCTAAAGACCTCGATTCCTCTTCGGTGTATGATATAATTTATGCTGAAGATAGCAAAGAGAAGAATATCACTATTCATCCATGTGAATCAGGAAGAGATTCTAAGAACGCAAAGGATAACTCATGGACATCCCTACAATATGTGGAGGCTATTTCTGCTCTAAATATAATTATGAAAAACCGCCCCAAGAAGTGTGCAAATTGTGGTAAATCTAACCTGAAAATATCGAGCCCTACATTTGGATGGCTTAGCAAGGTAATTCTACGATATGAAATTAAAAAAAGAAGAAGAAAATTTCATGTTCTGTTTAAAGTTTTGTATGAACTTATCTACCCATCATTTTTTAATGTTCTGTTCATCTTAAAACTCAGTTACATTATGATTACTTCAACCAGTTGTGCTTTCCTAGCGCTCTATCATTAATTCACCAAAGAAGTGGTACAAACCATTGTCATACGGACAAAGACAATATAAAGCTAGAGATTGTAACATGGAAAATGCACTCTTAAACAGTTATAGGATCTTGTAGGAGTCAGCCTCATCCAGGTGATTGGCAGTGGATAGAACTCAGACTTAACATCTGATCTGCAAACCATATGTTAATAAACAAACTTATGCGAAATCAGGTGTGGCTGAAAGTTGCCCCTACGTTGTCTCCGAATCAACATCATGTTATTCAACAAAATAGTCTATTTTTTTTCCTTCCTCCAACAGTGTTCCCTGGAGCTTCAGTGATTGGGCAGTTAGGTATGGAATGTCTATGGAAAATCTCTATAGCATTGGGATGTGGGATAGAGTTTGCTTTCTGTCCATTCGCCTTGGGGAAAATCTTTTTTGACATCAGAAGTGTCCGTCACTATACTACTAACTGTTTTGAGCATGATGGTTATGTTCCTTAGGGGGTTCCTAGTGCATGATGAGATTATAGTTTATACCTCGTGTTTAATATGTTTTTTTTATCATTTTTATGCAATTTGGTTTGATTTTATTACTTATGTGCTATATATCTATCTTGATGTCTCTGTGCTGAGAAATGTGGATATCTATCTTGATGGCTCTGTGATGAGAAATGTGGACAATGCTTATTGCTTAGTTACATTCAAGCTAGTTGGCTGGCTTTCTCAAGTTGCTAGTTTTTTGCCCACACGCCGTACTAAGTCTTAATTTAATAAATTTCATTTGGTTTGAGGGCATCTTGTTTTCCTTTGATTGACTTTTATATAGAAGTCCATATCTTTAAACATTTGAAATGCATTTTCTTCTTGATATAGAGTTTACATTATCATCAGAATGAAGGTGTTAAACATGAAACATGGACTCTGCTGGTCATAGGATGCCAAATTAAGATGATGTTGCATTCAACACTGGCTTCCTTTTAGTTTGCAAAGATATATATTTTTTACATGACAAATTGGTTCAAACATCCAGGGTCTTTTTGAGATCCATTGCTCAGAAGTAATTTCTGCTTGACAAGCAAATGCCACTGTAACTGTATACTTTATAGGATGCCATCTTTTATTCAGGAAGTAGTCCATAAAAAAAAAAAATCTTTGAACCTCCAACTAATCATATATGCAACCCCAATGCTCTAGCATTTCAGTTAGATTAATGTTGTTTTATGACATGGACTCTGGTTGATTCTGCGATCTCACTTGTTATATAAATTTGTATTCATTTAGTTATATCTTTATTGTTCATTTGCAAAATGCATCCTATTTACCTCTGCTTTTTGAATGTTTGTAGACCGTGAAACATTCAGATATAACAGCCAATTTCATTCGAGAATCTAATGTGGGTTTGCCTTCTACTGGTGAAGAAGGACCGGCAAATGAAGGTGATGATGCTCCACAGAGTGATGGGAAATCAGCAGTTCCTACATATGTGTCAGACCAATCAAGGAATCTGTCTCCTGATTTTTTTAAGAGCTTGAATGCTTCTGCAGGTCAGAAGCACCTAGTCCCTTCTGAGGTCTGTACCTCACTTTATCTTACTTTCCTTTCTGTTTGCGTATATTACTTTTATGCAGCATTATTAACTATGACCCAAACTTCCTTTTTGGTATTTATCCTATTTGACTGCATAAGATGCATGTTTTTAGCAATGCACTATACTTCTATTATCTCAGGTTGAACTTATTCTGGATGGCCTTTGGAGAAATGAGTTCCAATTGTGCAGGCTTATTTGCGACATTCAGCAAAAAGATTTAAAAATATCTGGCAACAACAAATGGTACGCGATGTTCTTCTTGAAGGCTCTTCTTGTCCCGCCAAGCAAGTTCCGGCCCCCAGCTTTTTCTGGTCGTGGGGTGAGTTTTTTTAATCAATACATGCATGTGTACTGTATTAGCTCTACTGTTGAATTCAACTTAAGATACATAATTTATAGGTGTACTTTTTGTACGGTGTGTTACACGCGCGCGCGCACACTATTTTTTACAACATTCTGGTATCTAGAGTAACAATTTAAGCGTCACTCGTTTGGGTTATTTCTTAATTCTGCAGCTCATGACATCTGTCCACACAAAAATTACCTGAACAATGAAAAATCTAGACCACACAGTGGCAACCCTATTCCGAATATCTATTATTAGTACACACAAGTTCAAGACCAGAGTTAGTGATGTAGATAGACCAACCTTTTTTCTTAATGGTTCCTATACTATATGCTAGAAGCAAGGACATTGACATGGAGATTAGGTTAATAAAGACAACATCCATGACTTCTCAATCCATGACCTTTCCCATGAGGGAATATGGTTCTCTCTTTATCAGTCATTATCTTTGGGCCCTATTTGTCATTTGACTCGTTTATGAGGTTGTAAATTAGTTCTCTTGTTTGACAGCCCAGTTCTTTGTACTTTCAAGGTATTGACTTTTAAATATGGGTTAGTGTTGCTGCGACAACAACATTTTTTTGTAGTGACATTTTTATTTATATAAGGATGACCTTCTCAACTTCTAAGACCTTCTAACCACAGCTAATTGTTCCTGTCTAGATAGTAGGAAAATCCATTTACTCGTTTTCTTTTCACTTGGTGTCATTTTTGTAAGAATCCACTTTTCTTTCTTATAGTTGTCTTCCATGCTCATGTTATTAACCTTTCCTTACAGCCTTATTTCCTCTGATGGGTTATCTTTGAAACTTTTATCTCTGCATTGAATGACTTCAAATTCCTCAGCCTCAAATTAAACTGTCATTGATTTTGATAATACTTGGGAAACTGGAGCCTATTTCAAACATTACAAATACAGCCTAAAGCTCCTTCACTGATCATGCTAGTTGGATTGTTAAAACATATATCATTTAAGAGCTATAAGTAAGTGATTTTGTACTCTGCAACTCGGAATTGAGAGAACATATAAATACACTGTTTTTCGGATGTTGCTTTGAATTTACAGTAAGTATTAGAAGAGGCAAGAAAGATGTTTGCTTTTTATAGATAACTTGCTAAAGAATCCGATGAGAAAGAAGGTTGCATGTTGCCATCTGTCTACAGAGTGTGCCTTTGAATTTCCATCATCATGAAAATCCACTCTGTTTGATAAACAAACTTGCATGCTGGTGCTTGTTTTAAACGTATGGCTAAGTTTGATGTTCCGATGTTGATTGATCCACTTCAAGCGTTAGAACATGTATCATTTGAGAATTTTGGATTCATGACTTCCATATTTTCATGGCCAGAACTCAGTGAGATCATACGACTCCACCCTCTTATTGATTTTGTTTAGAGCCAATGTTAAAAAATGTAGAAAGTGGAGTGCGGTTGGATGGTTTCACGTAGCACTAGATAGTGTCTGTTAAAGGGATCTGTCCATTAATTCAACAAATAAATATATATCTGACACTTACATGCACATTAATATACATATAGATACATAAATCTACCCTTAAAAAAGTTTATAACACCCTTAAAAGTTTATAATATAGAATGTAGAAGTATGTGCAAAAAAAAGAATAAGGAAATAGTATCTTCAATGCTGTCAAAATGTTTTTGATGAAGATTGAGAAAAAGTAAAAACAGCATTTAAGAAACCCGAAACCCCCTTAGAGTATAGATTTAAAGGCGAAAAATGTCTTCATACAAAGTCACAACATCATAATGAAAATTTTAAGTCTGGCTGGGGAAAAAAATCGGAAAAGCTCATTGCAGAAAGCAATAAACTATCTCACACAAGTGTAGTTATGGATGTAGGCATGAGACAAATTTGTAAAAGGTAAAATACGGGGACATGACTATATATAAATATATATAAATACTGAAATCAAAATTTTACATGGGATCAATATTGATTTTTATTTACATGTCACCAGGACTAAAATTCTGGTGACATTTTTTGTTTCTTTTATGAAGTAGATTATAAACTGGAAAAATGCTCGTTTTTAAACTAGATACCTAAATGACCCTTTAAAATTATACTTCAATCATACTTTTGAACTAGGTATGGACCGAAACGAGCCAAACATGTCTGGCATGTTGTAGGAAGAGATTTGAAGTGTAAGATATACATCCTAGAAGTGTACAAATCTTTTATACTTAAATATGTTTTTAATATAGTACATGTTTGAATAATTGTATATATTAGAGTATAAAAGCTTAGAGTATAAAAGCGTAAGCCTCAACCCTCACCATAACTTGGAAGTTACAACATAACTTGGAAGTTACAGTGTCAGTCATTTAACACGATACCATTGCAACCCATCCTTGAATTTTACCGATCACAAATTTCTAAAGTGGTTAAAAAGTAGATGCCCCTCTCTGGGGGTAGTGTGAAGTTATAACCATCACTACAACTTTAGAGTTTTGCTGTTGTTGGAAGCTCCTTTGACAATATACATATCAATGATTGTCCAAGGAGTGTCGGAGTCGGACACAGTATGAAAAGTGTCAGACGAGGTGGTGGGGGTAACTTAGACAATACACCGCCCAAAAAAAAAAATATAGCATAAAGGAGAATTAGATAATTTCTTCAGACGACAAAGCATTCCAATTTTACCAAAAAATCATGGCTGAAACAATAGCAATGAAAAAGACATCAAGTATTTTAGCACTCATTTCACTTTAGTGCTATCAAATTAGGCGGTCTTGTGGTTATTAAGTCGCTTGGGGCTCACTTCAATTTTGTACTGCTATCTTGGCCCACCATTAATAAGGGCTTAGCAAACTAGAGCAAACAACACAATGATGTCTATTATACGGTTGCTAAGTGCCACTATTTTTTAATAATGGCTAGATAGAGACAGAAATACTAGGGGAGAAGACAAGATACACAGTAAAAGTAAAACCCTTGATGATTGTCCAAGGAGTGTCGGAGTCGGACACGGTATGGAAAGTGTCAGACGAGGTGGTGGGGTAACTTAGACAATACACCACCCAAAAAAAAACAAATTTATAGCATAAAGGAGAATTAGATAATTTCTTCAGATGACAAAGCATTCCAATTTTACCAAAAAATCATGGCTGAAACAATAGCAATGAAAAAGACATCAAGTATTTTAGCACTCATTTCGCTTTAGTGCTATCAAATTAGGCGGTCTTGTGGTAATTAAGTCGCTTGGGGCTCACTTCAATTTTGTACTGCTATCTTGGCCCACCATTAATAAGGGCTTAGCAAGCTAGAGCAAACAACACAATGATGTCTATTATACGGTTGCTAAGTGCCACTATTTTCTAATAATGGCTAGATCCAGACAGAAATACTAGGGGAGAAGACAAGATACACATTAAAAGTAAAACCCTTGTGTTTTTGGTGGTAAGAAAGTCTTTCGTTATCTTCCCTTTAGTTGTTACTAGAAACCTGTCAAGTCTTTCCACTAGTAGTCAATAGCTTTATTTTTGAACTTTTATGTGCAGTACCAGTAGTGCTTTTAGCAAATGAATTCTGTACTAATGAGTAGTCACATTAACACACCTAATTGCTTTGTTTCTTATCTAGGTCGTGGAACATCCACAAAATCTTTTGTTGAGGAAAGTACAAGAATGCAATATTGTGTTACGTGAATTAATCAAAACTGATCCCAATAATCCCAAAATCATTGAAAGGTGGACGCAACTTCAAAGGAGTGTATCTGTGCTGTTTGATAGTAGTAAGGGCCTTGGTAGGTATCTCATTTCCAACTTATTTATGTTTTATTCTTTTGCTTGTACAACTTTTTTTAGTTAAACTCCTTATATTTTCTAACTTATTTGTTGCTCCCATGCTTTGTTGCTTGGTCTTGTTTGATGTCAAAGCTTCTTTGCAAGTCCTATATTGATATAGGACTTTTGGATAGATATGGAAAATGTTTTTTTAGGGTAAGCAAAAGATGATTTTTTTTTTGTTTTAAAAAATTATTTACTGTAAAGGTCCTGTGAACCTGATCTTTCCAATTGGCAACTTTTAGGTTAATTTCCTGTGCCCTTCAAGGAGTTTATTATTGTGCCAAAGAAGGAATCATGCTTTGGGGTTTAGATGCTAAAAACTATGTTTAGTGCTGTACATGTATCTAAAACTAATTCTGGACCATTTGATGAATTCCAGCAATCAAATTGATTGTCAGCTAAGAAATGCGGACTAGATTATGTAGAAAGATGAGCAAATCTCAATAATATAACAACATCTATTGAGAAGGTAAAGAAGGGAGTTTCTAGGAAAGAATAGCACTTGAAGGATGACAACAAAAAAGCAGTTTTATTCAGCTAGAAACTAAAATAAATGCTAGCTTTTGGCGTTTTTACTTTATATCACTTACAGCACCAGGAAAGTTTCATATTCTGGACTGTATTGCAATAGCCTATTGATAGTGTTATGTTAATACCATGGGTGTGTTTATCTGCTAGGGGTCTGCATAAAATATTCTTGCTGGATTCCTGGGTAGGTGACAACATCTCGTATTTTCTTTGAAATTACTATCCTGCATCAAATAATGGTATTTAGCTGTTTCTAAGGCTTGTAATTTTGTTCTCATTGTTGTATTATTGATAGTACTTCTCTTACGTACAAGACCTCCATGATATTGAGATCAGTTTCTTTCGTGGATCGTTAGTTGGGCATATTCTCCAATTTGAGCGTTTTGTGTGTTCTGGCCATGTCATATCAACAATTGATCATGATAGATTATAACATGTTTCTAGCCATATAATATGAAGATATTAGTTAATGGTAGCCTACAACTTTTAGCCTTGGGGTTTATCATCCTAGGTTTATCATCCTTACTTTATGCCACTATCTTGTAGACTCCTTTCATTACATCCTTTTGGTGGATATTAGTAGGTGACAGATGCATCATGCATACGTAGTTAACTTGTTTGGATTGTGTTATTGTGCCATTTCTTCTTCATCTTCTTCTTTGCATTGCAGTGCATTTCATATAAAAGACTACTGCTTTTTCTGGTGTGATTTTGCTGTCATAAGATTGCAATGGATGTTAATATCTATGTATATATCTATGTTAAGTACTTTTATTATCTTGTTATAATTAGGAAAATGTTTACCTCTTTGCATCCATGTATTAAAAATTTCCCCTTAAACTGTACACATCCCAACTCTTCCCTTGGTCTTGCTCCTTTTCCAAACAAACTGCCTATATTGTCATGGTCATTTGGTATTTGGGGCAAAAATTGAATGGACAAATATTCCTGGCGTTGCCAATCATGAAGAATCAGATAACAGCTAGGGTAAAGGAGGAAACAGAAGAAAAGTAGGGGAATATCAGAATGAGATGAGCAGGAAACATACATTAGAAATTTGGAAGTGGGAACAGAATGATCTTTGGCATGTTACCGGCCAGTTGAACTTTCAGCGAGTATATATTGTGGAATTGAATAGAGTAGGTCATGTGGTATCCTCTATAAACCTCAAATAATGAGGGATGAATGAAGTAGACATTAAGATCTCTTTTCTAGAACTTGAAAATTGATGGGGAATTAAAATAGAATTGACAGTAGAGTCCCTTCTGCGGAGCTCGGAACTTGAGGAGGAATTGAATGGAGTAGACTGTAGGATTTCTGTTTAGAACTCCAAAATTAAGGAGGTTTGAATAGAGTAGACAATAAGGATTCTTCTCCAGAATTGAGAAATTAAAGGGGTAATTGATTGCAGTAGACAATAGGCCTCTTCCCCAGAGCTTGGAAATTAAGGTGAGATTGAATAGAGCAGACAATAGGGTATGTTCTCAGAGCTTGAAAATTAAGGAGAAATTGGATAGAGTACACAATATGATCTATCCTCTAGCGCTCAAAACTTAATGAGGAATTGAATAGAATAGACACTAAGGAGAAATTGAATAGAGTACACAATATGATCTATCCTCCAGCGCTCAAAACTTAATGAGGAATTGAATAGAATAGACACTAAGGTCTGTTTTATAGAGCCTGAAAATTAAGGAGGAATTGATTAGAGTAGACGATAAGGTCTCTTTTCTACACATATATTAAGGAGGAATGGAATAGAATAGACCATTGCCTTTACTAGATGGTAACCCTCACTTATTTGAAGTTAGATACTTTGCTTTAGCTTTACGGTTTGTTATCTTCCAAGAGCATTTTAAGGTTCTTGCGAGATTATTCTTTCTGACAAAATTTTTGTCTTAACTTACTGTTTCTCGATGGAAACGAGTTTCTGCTGCCGGTTGGTGTACAGTGTACAGAAATTAAAAAATTTATTGTTCCAGCCTGTTGTTCTAATCAATGAATTATGAGTGAGAAGATACCTTGAAATTGTTTAAAGGTTGTAAACTGAATTCTGCAGAGCCATTATATTGCCAGGGCCCAGGAGAGGTTGATGGAGGTAGTAGATACCTTGAAATTGTTTAAAGGGTGTAGGCCATCTATATAATTTTGCAGAGAAGTTTTTTAGGTCTTTGATGTAACAGTATGCACTGATGCTTTTTTTCTGCTTTTGGTTTTATTACAGTCTTGGTAATTGTGCATGCTTATAGTTCCACCCTTGACAAATAAAGTTCATCTCACAATCTTCTCTTATTATAGTAATCTCATGCATACTATCAGTTTATTTATATTATAATCATTTTCTTGCAACTCATTTTTAAAATATTGTTTCAATGGAATTATTGGAACTTGATTCTGTAAAAACAATGATATACTTCCAGTTCCATTTGTATTTTCTTTCTGATTTTTAAATACTTGCAGCTAAAAGTGAGAGGGAAACTAATGGTATAAGGCAGTTACTGGAGAAGAAAGCAGGTATTCTTCGGCAAAAGATGATGGGAAAGCGAGTTAATTTTGCCTGTCGCTCGGTCATTTCCCCAGATCCATATTTAGCTGTCAATGAAATTGGCATTCCTCCATATTTTGCATTGAAGCTAACATATCCAGAGGTATCTTTCAAAATTGTGAAAAGTACTTTTTGCAATTTATTGGTGGAGAGTCATCTCTCTCATTTACATGATACTCTTGCATGCATAACCGAATCACGGATACACTCACAAAGATACTTTTATGTATATGGCAACACACATGAACATCTTTGCACTGAGGTGCATGCATGATGCCAACGAGTTATCAGCTGCATTATTGTCCTTTATGAAATTTGCTTAGGTCTGTACTGGTGAAAGATGTCCTGTTATGTCACCTTATATTTCTACGTAAGCTAAAATTTGTTAATTCTATATTGCATGCCCCGAGATACATGCCTTCGCATGTAACTTGTTAGTATGACCATCCATAGCCATCTAGATATAACTACAATGTTGGTTTTGTAGATATGTTACACTACCGCGTTTGTGAGTGTATTGAACAACAGAAGGAAAATGAAAAGATGTTGTAATATTTTCTGCTCTTATTTCCTCATTAGTAAGACTGAATACATGATTGTACAGAGAGTGACCCCATGGAATGCTGATAAACTGAAGCATTCGATTATGAATGGTGCTAATATTCATCCTGGTGCTACACACTACATGGACAAGGACAGACTATATAAGTTGCAGGTATCCGAAAATATGCGCAAAGCAATTTCAAGAAAGTTACCTACATCTCGGGGAGTTACTTTGCATTCCGGGAAGGGTCCAGAATATGACTTTGAAGGCAAGGTAGTGTACCGCCATATACAAGATGGTGATATTGTTCTCGTGAACCGACAGGTATGATGATTGTCCTATGAGGTCTGTGGCAGTGATTTATTTTAATTGTGCTAACTGTTAAAAATTCTTGTGCAACAAAATGTTGGCCAGTGGATGTAGGTCAAATTAATGATGCATTCATTTGAACTCAAATTTTTTCTTGTCTTTTTTTGTATTATTTTAAAACATAAAGTGTGTTGAGTGGGCCATGAAAAACGTTGCAGTACTTTTGATTATTCGAGCGTAATCACGTAGGTAAATAGCAGTTTGGATGATACTTCAGACTGCATATATTGTAAAAAAGTGTACATGTACTGTTTTTTATTTCAGCAGATGATTACCTCTTCTCCAAATCTTTTAAAGTGGTTAATTTTTGGAGATATCAAACTTCTGCCCCCAAGACGGTCATGGTTTCGTTAAAAGAATTTGCCATTAAAATTGATTTTGAAGTTTTGTATTTTGTTGCATTTGTTTTTACTATCACTCTTGTTACACGGAAGATAAATGATATTTGTATTGGCATATAGGAAATTTATATTTTGAGGAATATTATTTAGACAGGCTGCAAATTACGGTCTTCTTACACGGAAGAAAACTGATTTTTGTATTGGCATACTGCACACTTCTTTGTTGCAGGTTGGTAACAGATAGTGCATTCTAAGTTACAATATTTAAATGATACCTTATGAATGGTGATTTTGTGGGTCATATTTTCCCTCCTCCCCTCCCTCCCTCCACTCGAGGGTGTGGGTGCATTGACAAGTTGGTGGGTGAGAGGCAGGGTGGAATGCTTTCAAGAAATAATATGCTTCTCAAATGACTTTTGAGTTATAAAGGCAAATCTAAGAACTTTAAATATGGAAGATGATTTAGTAGTAATCTTTAAGTAGTCTTATCCTTTACTGTCAACTATGGGTTAAAATTGGTCATTTAAGCTTCCCTTAGTCGGTAGTGATGCATTAGTGTAGGTACGTTGTCTTCTTAGTAGAATGTACATCCACACTGTGGTTCCCTTCTTTTTTCTTTAACCAAAACATCCATCACAAAACTTCTGATTCTGTGTCTGAGTAGGGAAGTAGAAGATCTTTTGGTTTCATTTATTGCTTGTGTTGCACTCTAATTTCCTGATTGGTTTAGCTCTAAAAACGTGCAGCCTACACTTCACAAACCTAGCATGATGGCTCATGTTGTTCGTGTTCTGAATGGGGAAAAGACACTTCGTATGCACTATGCAAATTGCAGGTTGTATACTGAGCTTGAGTGATATGAGGTTCTTTCCTATCTTAGTATATGTTTCTTTAGTAAACTTATTCCCTTTAATTTGCAGTACCTATAATGCTGATTTTGATGGAGATGAGATGAATGTTCATCTGCCTCAGGATGAAATTTCACGAGCTGAAGCCCTTAATATTGTCAATGCAAATAAGCAGTATATTGTTCCGACAAGTGGAGATCCCATTAGGGGTCTGATTCAGGTAATGATCTGCAAATTGCCATATTGACATTACCTGAATGGATGCTAGGCTTGTAGTTTTTAGTGATGACTGTTGTATCTTTTGACATATTTTGCTTTTGGCTCCAAATTATCTTGATACCCTAATTCTTCAGGACCATATTGTAAGCGCTGTACTTCTAAGTAAGCAAGACACTTTTTTAACCCGTGAGGAGTACCACCAGCTCTTATATGCTTCTTGCTTGCCTCTGGCTGCTGGCAGTCTTCAATCTGGTGGATCTGATCAAAAGATTTCTTTATTAAGCTCTGACAATGAGATCAAGCCCCTTCCTCCTGCTATTTGGAAACCGAAACCCTTGTGGACTGGAAAACAGGTTTGTGTTTTCCCTTTTTATTAAGTTGTAAAGTGAGACAGTTGTTTGAATATTTGCATCTTCATCTGTCCTTTAGTATCTGTTATTTTCTGTAGGTGATAACTGCAATCCTATGTCATATTACAAGGGATCGTTCACCTTTTACGATTGAGAAAGGTGGAAGAATCCCGAAGGAGTATTTTGCTAAAAACAGTAAAGAAGGCAGTATGCTTATTTACAATAATGAGTTCATACATGGGATGATTGACAAGGCTCAGTTTGGAAAATACGGGTTGGTCCACATTGTCCATGAACTTTATGGTGCAGATACTGCAGGCAGTTTAATGTCTATACTTAGTCGTTTATTTACTATCTTCTTGCAGGTAGATTTGCAACCTGATTCCGAATTTGTTTCTTAGTATCTTTTAATTTTGACTTTGTACCGAGTGGTGTACTTTATGACACCTCAATGTTTTCAGATGCATGCATTTACTTGCGGAGTGGATGACCTTTTACTTCTACGAGAATCAGATATGGATAGGGAAGTAATGCTAAAAAAAAGTGAAGCACAAAGCTTAGATGTGCACTGTCGTTTTACTCAATGTGGTGATACAGGTGCGTTTCACAAGGATTTTTTACATGAAGTATATGCCAAAATTTAGTGCAAAAATTGTAAAAGCCACTCAATATTGCATCGTTCTTTGATTTATTATTCAGCTCAGCTGTTCCATGCTGGCGTAGTTTTTTTTTGTTTATTTATTTATTTATTTAACTTATTAGTCCTATATTCTTCTCACTGTGGCATCATTCATTTGCTTCTACGATACATTTTACGATAAAACTTAGGCTTTGGAACAAAAACTTAAGAAAGCTGTTTCTCCAAAAAGGCTGAGCATTACTGAGCAATTTCCTATTCAAGAAACATGGCTCCATTAAGCCTAGAGCTGAGGCTTGTGCTTTGCATTACTTTTACAAAGTAGAACATAGCAGGTCATCTTTGCTCATAATATACACTGCTTTCTCTTGGATGTTCTCCATGGTATTAGTTCAGTAAGCAGTGAGAGCTCACTAATACACAAGAATCCTCATTTTCTTGCCCCGTGACCTGACAGAAGCATTCTTGGTGATCATAATATGTGAAACCTGAAAAGTATTATAGCAGTTGCATTCCCTTATGTCCTCAATCCATGCGTGCAGGCTCTTCAGTGTTGAGCATGGGCATTTTTATGACTTTTTGGGGGTGTTTGTTTGCATGCTAGTAAAACATGAAACTGAGAAAGTGCTCACTTTTGACACTTTAGGCATCTGTTTTCATGCAAGTGATTGTGAAAGTGAAATGCAAAAAAAAAAAAAGTTGCCTCATATGATTTAATACAATTGTGACTTACGTGAAAACTGTTGAAGTCACCTGAAATTGAGAAAGTGGGGACTGCTTCTAATTAATTGACATTAACTATATTTACAAATATATCCTATTTGGCCACATCATTTTCAATTTTGTTCTTCCAACAATAATTTTTTTTAAAACATCGTATTTCACTTGCATGTTGACATGGATGTGAAAATCATTTGTAAATTTAGCAACTTCCACACTTTCAAATTTCAATTTGCCAAACACTCCCTCTGTTCAAGCCAAATGAGCTGTACCTATACATGCACCCAAGAAGGCTGCTCATCCTGTCAACTGTTTTCTTTATTCATATCAATCACTGTTTCCTCCGTTCTATCATACACTCTAGATTTTTTTTAATGCAGAAAAATATCTCAGGTATCAGAATGAGCTCTAACGAGTGTTATTTTTTGAGTTGCAATGTGTAGTAATATTTTGTAATAATATCATAGTTTATATACTGATTTTTGAGTTAGACATGGTTACTTTTGGAAAGGATTTGGAGCAAAATTCTTCTCATTCAAATTCAATGGTAGACAATCAATGAGGAAAATTAACTATTGATCATATTAATCAACATCGTTTCTGTCTAAAACAAAAAAAATCAAATGAATTTGAGTTTTCCTTCTTATACATCAAATCGATGCAAATGAATGCTCAACCAAGTGGGGAATTGCTTAGGTCTATGATACAGGATATACAAATTTCACTTCAAACTTTTGAATTTAAACACTTCAAAACTGGGTTTTAAATATTTTAGACCATAGGTTTAAAGCATGAGACATTTTTTGATCATCCATTTTGTACTCACTTGATGCATAATAGATGAGCACTAGCCCTTATGCTTTTTAGGCACTCTATCTATTGAACAAATAAGAAAGCAGCTACTTTGTAGGGTTTTATGCCCATTTGATACATAGGTAACAGAACTTAATGTCACTTGCTTTTTGGTGTCTTGGGTGCCATGTATGACATAAATTAAGTTGAATGGAAAATATTGTATGATTGAATATTTGAATCTGAAATGCGAAGGTTTTGGTTCCAAATCCTCTTCCTGAAGCAACCAAGTTTAACTTGCTATTTAAATTAAATCCAGACATGTTACTCGATTATTTCCTATTCAAGCATATTTTAATTATATTTTTCTCAAGTAGATCCATCAGTCTTGCACAGAGAAATTGAGAAAGCTCTCAGAAGTGTGGAATCTGCGACAACTAGGTTGGATAGGATGATGTCCAATTCTCTGAATGTTCTAACTTCAGAGGTTAATAAAGCTTTATTTCCTGCTGGACTACAGAAGCCCTTCCCGAGGAACTGTCTCTCACTTATGACAACAACGGGTGCTAAAGGTGGACTGGTATGTTCTTTCCTTTTTCTTTTAAATGTTTGTTGAATTTTTTAAATTGGATGCTCTGGGCTTATTAGAGTGGATCCTGCATGACTTCTAGTTAGTAGTAGGAAGTTTTCTATTACTATATGCAACATTTGGTCAATACTCGAGCTTATTTGGCCCCAGTGTATCCTATTATTTTTGTTTCTCCGTTTGGTCCAACAAACAAAGTGGTAGCTGCAATAACATCCCAACTTCCCCTGAAATTAGGCAAAGCATTGACTTCTCAACACATAAACCATAAAAATGATATAATTGGGTAATACTTTTAATTCTCAACTTTCTTTCCTCCCAAAGTTGAGTGCTGAAATGGCACACCAAGAGTTGTGCCATTGACTCCATCTACTCGGCATTGTTGTTTGTATCCTGCTTTTTGTGTTTTACGGCGTTATCCCTGTGCAGAGTAGCTCTTTGGTGACCAACCAAATTACAGCTTAACATTTAGACGTTCTTTAGTTTTCTATATGCGTTTTGCCATAGGCGATCTAAGCCTGAAACTATTCAGGGAGCGGTAGAAAGTGCGCATCGAGAGGTTCTCCTTGTTAGCCCACCTATAGGAGATTCCATTTTCGTCTGACCCTAGTGCTGGGTGTTCCAGACCTAAAAGGTACAACAACTCTTATTTACCTTGGTCTTCGCAGTTCAGTCGCATTAGTGCTCGCCTATATACTGTGCCGGTTTAATATTCAATTATTTTGAATCACGCTGTCCTTAAATCTTATCATCATCATGATTTGATTCTGTGTAATAAGGATATTACAGTAGCGTCTCTTGGTCGTCAATGGAGAACCTTTCCATAGATTGAAATGGAAAGTTAAGCAGATATACGGGGTCTACAATTTGGTCTAACTTGGATAGGTTCAGTTTGTGTTGGAACTCCATTACTGCTTTTATTATCTTTCCTTTGTTATGTGTTTCTTCTTATAGGTAAATTTTTATTCTCCTTGGATAGCGTCTCTTATTGACGTCTTGGTTTCATCATTTAGTTGTATCTTAAATTTGCACAATTGAAGAAACATAAAACCTGTACTTCTCAGCATGTTAATATTTAGTATTATAGAATATAGAGATATTGGATTTTAAAGTCTGAGACCCTGAGTGCTTCTTTTTATATGGCTTATATGGTATGATTTTTTCTGCACTTAAGTCTGATCATTTAAAGCACAACAGGCCCCAGAATAATCTTATAGTGGATATATTTCTTTAATAAATATTTTGTACCGTATCTGTCATGTTTATTTTCCTGCATCACTAGTTTGTACTTTTTTAACTTAAACATTGCTATCACCAACCTTCAGTTAAATCTAGTGTTATAATATTCAAGGTATTTTGATCTTGAAGGAGTTATTGTAACTTACTAGTATTCTGGTCCTTCTGGATGATATACTGCACCTGATCTCCTACCTCGGGTATTCTTTGTTGCATAATGCAATCTGTATTCTATCCTATGATAGAAGGAACAGGACAGCTCTGTATCATTTAGGTGAATGTTCCCATCATTGTCTCATTAAGATAACTTTGTGTTTAAATTGGATACCTTGCTTTTTTACATTTGTAATTTCATTATTTCTAACTCATTGTTTCACATGTAGATTGACAATGTATTTGTTTTTCTTTGTAGGTCAATTTGACTCAAATTTCTTCATTGCTCTGGCAAAACTTTACCCTGCTTTCCTCCTTGGGATACTTCATGTAGGGCCGGAGGTTTTATTAGTGATCGGTTTTTGACTGGTCTTCGCCCTCAGGAATATTACTTCCATTGCATGGCTGGTCGTGATGGGTATGGTGAACTGGCACATAATATATTTCTGTCTGACATTTTATACATTCTTTATATTTATATTTTCTTAACATTGTGGAATTGATTTTGGTCTCGTGACATAAAAATTTAGATATAACATCTGGAAAAACTCTATGCATCATTCTTTAGTTGTTATACCATTATAATGTGCGTGCAAGTGTACTTTACCTTACAGTTGCATGAATCTTGGTTAGGTCATTTTATTTGCTAAGGAAATCATTTTAATTTAAATGCAGAATACTAAATTAGCTGTAGTTTTCTTTACAAATGTAAATTATTTGCTTTGCTGCAAGTTGCTTTTGAAATCCATATACTGCAGGTTTGCTTGGCTTGTAGAATTTAACGTCTCCAATTATCTACAGATTAGTTGATACAGCCATCAAGACATCTCGCAGTGGATACCTGCAAAGATGTCTCGTCAAGAATCTTGAGAGTTTGAAGGTTTGCTATGATTACACAGTGCGAGATGCAGATGGCTCCATTGTCCAATTCGCATATGGCGATGATGGAGTAGACGTCTTGAAAACTAGCTATATTACTGAAGTTGAAGCCCTTTCTAATGTAAGTATGCTCTCAATAAATTTCTCCCTTTCCCTGAATCTTCAGCTTGACTTTTTACCAAGTCTGTAAGAATTTTTCAGAATCAAAGAGTTGTTTTAGAGAGCCTAAGCAGTCAACTCGAGGATGCTCATTTGTCAAAACCAAATAGGTTTATCAAGGACTTGCCAGATTCCCTCAAGGAGATAGCAACAAGTTATGCTAATCAGCTCTCAAAGAGCAAAAGGGGCCATATCAGGCGAAAGGACCTGATGAGATTGATGAAGCTCAAGTATATGTCTAGTCTTGCTGCACCTGGCGAACCTGTTGGTGTAATCGCAGCTCAGTCTGTTGGAGAACCATCAACACAGATGACGTGAGATTATTTCCTTAACTTGTTGCTTTCATAGTGTTTCTTCATCTAGTCTGTCTGAGACTATTTCCTTAACTTGTTGCTTTCATAGTGTTTCTTCTTCTTGGCTGTCTGCAATTTTACTTGCTAAAAGCTGCAAGGGCTTTTGGTCCTAACAAGAGTTTAAACTACTACTTTTTGATTGCTGAACTAAATTTCCCTTCCAGTTCATAATAAATGCCTTTATCAGTTTATTCTGTTTAGGGACGTACAGAAATTTCTGGTGGGCTCTTAAAGCTACTATATTGTCTAATTCCTTTTTAGTACTCTAGTTAAGTCTCTTCTTCCTTGAGATCCTGTTAAAGAATAGATACTAGAGGGGAGTCAAAGTAAGTTGGTTTGAAACCTAAAAAAGCATATCCTTTGAGAAAGGGATAAATGCCTGGAGAGAGGGGGAAAGAACAAAAACAAAAAACAAAACAAAATAAAACAATATTGTCTGGAAACTAATAAAAGGCATGTCTTTTGAAAAGTAAGATTGGTTTGGAACTTCTGTATAGAAATTCATCTCCTTTTCTGTAAGAGCATTCTGGTTGCAGACCCCCAGCGCTGCTTTAAAATCAACTAATAACCTAGTGGTTGTGGCTTTTTGAGTCAGTGCATAATCACTTCACTTTGTTCATCAGCATTCTGGAACATTCATGATGCCTTCTCATGTTCTGCGGACTTCCTTGTTCATTTTATAAGCGGATTATCTCAGCCTATTTTTGTTTAAATGCTTATTTTTGGATTACAAGCTGGTATCCCTTCATAAGCAATATTTTATTGGCTAAAGACCTCTCCATTCTGAGGCATTTGTAATCAGTGTTTGGACATAAGTTGTTTTCTAGTAGATTTTTTCCTTTGTTGGTTAACACATGCTATGATCTTGCTTTAGCAGATCTTCTGTCTAATGTTTTCTATTGTTTTAATTCACAGACTTAATACCTTCCATCTTGCTGGACGAGGAGAGATGAATGTGACTTTAGGTATACCTCGTCTACAAGAAATTCTGATGAGTGCAAAGGAGGTCATTCGCACTCCCATCATGACTTGTCCTTTGCTTGATGGGATGACTAAGTAAGTGAATTACTGTCAACTGCAACCTTTTCTCCCTACGATTTTCAAGTTCTATCTTATACTTTTCTCCCTCTAATATTAATGTCTGTACAAGCTATTATTAGCATTTGATGTGACCTATTCCTTCATAACGGGACATGCATCAGCCCCGCTCCCCAAGGAATGCCACATGGCATTTCATTTCTCTGCTTATTGCCCTTTTGTTCATCTGTTTGCTACTCAGAACAATTTTATAATATTCCCTTGTTTATACAGAGAAGATGGTGAATGCCTTGCTGCTAAATTACGGAGAATTTGTGTAGCAGATATTGTAGAGAGTATGGAAGTCTCTACACTTCCATTCTACATTCATAACCGAAAAGTTTCCACCCTTTATAAACTTAAGATGAAGCTCTTTCCCCCTAGCCTTTATCCTCCTCATACAGACATATCACTACAAGATTGCAGGTCAATCTTAAGAACGACCTTTGTCGAAGCAATGGAGGTGGCGATAACAAGACACTTGGAATTAATATCGAAAATCAGTGACATTGATGTTGTTGCAGGCAAGGGAGATAGTGGCATGGAAGAAGAGGGAGAAGATGGAAGTGGAAGCAAATCTGCCAATGGCGATGATATTGATGGCGGCGGTGGAGGTGGTGAGAAGGATGAAGATGATGAGTTTGATGATGATGGTGAAGATCAAGGTGCTGATGCTGAGAAGAGGAAGAAACAGATGTGTGATGAAATGGATTATGAAGATGAAATGGAGAAAAAATCTTCTTCGGTAGTTTTTGACGAGTTTGGTGGTGAGAGTGAAACTGATCAGGTTGAGGAGGCTGAGGACGACTATGAACTGGGAGGTGATGACCCTGATATTGTAGCTAATAAGAAAATCAATGAGGATGATCCTGCTGACAATGTGGCTGATGAGGAAACACCTGAGAGCCCATCTAAAACAAAGACTCTTTCTGTGTCCTCGTCAAAGGTTAAGAAGAGCAAAGCAAAGCCAAAAATTGTTAAGCGCAAGAAGAAGATAGACAGCGCAATTTTCGTAAAGGCTGAAGGATTAAGATTCGAGGCTCATTTCGTCTTAGTTGATAAACCCCATATTTTGTTGGCGGAGGTACTTTCTGACATCTTTTTGTACACATGCTTGACTCAATTTTATTATTTCTGTACTCATATGTAGTTGCATTTAATTCAAAAAATACATTCACAAGGTAATATTCTCAACTCAATTTGTTGTTTCCTGGTGTAGCTTGCATTTACTAGAGAAGAATATGATGTCCTAGTTTAGGTGCATATGATTTGCAGAATTACACCGGAACCTATTATTGTAAAATAACATGCGTCTCTTTTTACTTGATCATGCTTATATCTGCAATGAGAAGTATTTAGAGTCAAGAGTGAAAACTTTTTGGGGTTTCTTGGTCACAAGCCCAAGGTTGCATATCATTTCTTTGCCGTAACTTTATTTCCATGCCACAGATCATACTGTTTCTGTTTTATTTAAAAAATGCTGATGTATTATAAGGTTCACATTTTAGCAAATCCATTTTTTTCCCCTTAAAGCCATAGTTTAATTGGTATGGATTATCATTGGAAGTTCCCCTAATCAAATTTAGAGATGGCACATTGCACTTTAAATTTAGTGATGGTTAAAGGGGAAGTATGGATTTATTTTCTGGATGAAAACCATGCACAATATTTCGGCAATAAATGTTCTTAAGCGTATTGACATCAAACATTGTCAGTTTTATACATAAAAAAATCACACTTTATACATAAAAAAATCACACTTCCACTCTCTTGCAGATTGCGCAGACGACAGCCAAACGAGTGTATCTCAAGGAATGCGAGGGCATTGATCGATGTTCAGTAGTCGAACCAAAACGCTCAACGGACCGAATCGCTCTCCAAACTTCCGGAGTAAATTTTGGAGCATTCTGGGACTTACAAGATAATCTCGATGTCAAAAAAATCGTCACAAACGACATCCATGCAGTTCTCAACACCTATGGAGTAGAAGCAGCTAGGCAAACCATCATCAATGAAGTCAAAGGAGTGTTTGATCCATACGGCATTCGCGTAAATACACGGCACTTGAGTTTGATTGCAGATTTTATGTCTTCTAACGGAGGGTATCGGCCAATGAATAGGCTTGGAATGATGCAGTTCAATACTTCGCCTTTTGGTAAAATGACATTTGAGACAGCGACAAAGTTTATCGTGGAGGCAGCTTTTCATGGGGAGAGTGATGTGTTGGAGTCTCCATCGGCCCAGTGTTTCCCTTGGCCAGCCTGTGAAGTATGGAACCGGTGTTTTTGATTTGATGCAGAAAATTTAGTTTCCTGCCTATTCTTTTAGTTTTGGCTTTCATTCATCTTGTTTGTGTTTAAAAGTGAATAGTGTTATAGATTATAGGGAAATTACTGTATATCCCCTAGCTGGAAGATCATGGGGATACAAGTTGTAATGAGATCAAGTTGTTTAACAAGTATTGCTTGTAATTTGTGATATTAACATTTTAACAATTTTGGGAAATGTGATTTCATTTTTCTTTATACTTCTCTGATTTTTATGTGTTTCTCTTGGTCAGCCGATGAAGTTTGGTGCTGGGGCTTTTGATTTGTAGCAGAAACTTTAGTTTTTTTATGGCTGCATTTTTATTTCTTTGCCTAGAATTTTGGTTCTTTCAGCTTTCATTCATCTTGTTTTGTCGGTGAAAGAGAGCAACTGTTAGATCATAAGGAATCACTGTACATCCCCAGGTTGGAAGAATATGAGGACAGGTTATATATTGACGTAATGAGAGATGCAAGTTAACGAGTATTGCATGTAGTCTGTAACACTGACTGTAAATTTTTTGGTTACCAGAAAGACTTCCTGCCGCCTTTTTCTAAATTCAATGACCACTGCCTTCATGCCCAAATGGAAAACAACATCAAATTGAATGGTAACAAACATAAACCCATCCTCAAACTTTCTCAACAATGTACACAAAATTATTATTTTTTTCCAAATTTCAATAATCAATCCTCCATGCCCAAATAGTAAGAACTCAGCAAGCCCAGCTAAACTGTACAAACTTTATACCGCACAACATCAAATCCAAGCAAACACAACCAAATTCCATCCTCAAACATTCTCAAAGGTAGACACAAAATGCCTTCAGATCATTAATCAATTTTTCCATTTTGTCCCCCCAGTTTCAATAATCAATCCCTCTCCAAATTGTTAAGAATTCATCAAGCCAATCTAAACTGTACAAACTTATTCCGCAAAGCAACATCAAATGGAAACAACCACAATTCCAAACCCACTTCCATCCTTAAACTTTCTTAAAGATGGACAGAAATTTTTCCCAACCACAACCTCATACGGAATCAACATTCGCTCCACCACCCAATGGCTCCTCTACCTGCAAAGGCTTCTTATAAAACTGCAACAAAAGAGACGAACAAACAACACTCAACGACGATGCAGCCATGCACGCCCCTGCCAGCCATGGAGGTAACCTAATCCCCGCGAATGGATATAAAACTCCTGCAGCAATTGGTAAACCGAGTATATTATAGCCAAGGGCCCAGACGTAATTTAGGCGGATTCTGGAGAGGGTTTTTCTGGAGAGATCGATGGCAGTTATGACGTCTTCAAGGTTGCTCTTCATCAGTACAATGTCTGCTGCTTCGATCGCGACATCGGTTCCGGCGCCGATTGCCATTCCGACGTCGGCAGCGGCGAGGGCTGGTGAGTCATTGATGCCGTCACCGACCATTGCTACAGTTAGGCCTTTCATCTGCATCCAAGAATACCAAAATTTGCTATTATCGCTGTTAAAAATATAAATTGACAATCTTCAATTCCCCATCATAACTTATTTTTTAAGGGTTTTTATATGGAAACTACCTCTAAATAGTAGTGTAATACAGGAACCAACTTTATTATTAATTTATACATGAACTACCTTTAAAGTATATTTCGTTTTAATCAACCATCAAAATCCATTTCCTGTTGACTTTTTTATCAAAATTACTTTAATGCCCCTCCTTTTACTCTCTCTCCTCTCTAGGGCCCATATCTTGGCAAGCATGCAGGCAGCGCAGGCAAGGGTGTTGCAGTGGCCAACGACAAATCCCGATTGATTCTCCTCTCTCTCTCTCTCTTTCTCTCTCTGCGACGCTGGCCCTAATCTCGCCGTTGCCGGGATTTGCAGTGGGCAACTGCAACACCCTCACCTACGCCGCCCGCCGAGATTTGTGGGATCTAGAGACGAGAGAGGGTGTGAAAAAAGGGGTAACAAAGAAATTTTGACAAAAAAAGTCAACATGAAATGGGTTTTGGTGGTTGATTAAAACGTAATATATTTTAAAGGTTGTTTCTGTATAAATTAACCTATAAAGGTGGTTCCTATATTACACCCCTATTTTAAAGGTGGTTTCCATATAAAAACCCTTTTTCTAAATAACAACCCTCAATTTAAACCATAATTAAAAAAGTACCGAAGCGGCGAGGCTCTTTGCAAAAAAAAGTTACCTAGGCATAAAATAGTTCAGATTTTGTTCATATATAATAACCCTCTATTTTTGCTGGAACACGTTAGAATATCAAATTTAGTTATTTAGATATTAAGTCCCTCAAATCTTTAACGAATCCACATTATACCCTCAAATCCTTGAAATTGCTCATACGCCGCTCAAATCCTAAGGCATCTTGAGATTTGGTCCCTCAATGATCAAAATAACCCTAAGCTAATGTTTTTTTTAACATGTAGATTTTGGAGGAAACATAACCCGAGGGGTACTTTTGTCATTGAGGGCTCAAATTGCAAGACCCCTTAGGATTTGAAGGACTTGTGGGCAATTTCAAAGATTTGAGGGACTAATGTGGACTTATAGAAGATTTGAGGTACAAATGTCAACCATTACCAAATTATTTTGATGCAACAAAAGGATACTTAAGAATCAGCCATGCGTCCTTCCAACCAAATCAGAGAAGATTCATATGCAGAAGCAATTTATGAGAATTAAAACTTGACACTTTCGACAGTAAACTACTAGGATTTTGCTTAATGTTACCTGCAAGTCCTTAATTTTTTCTGCTTTTCCCACAGGATCCGTCTCAGCAAAAACTGAACTTATTCCGATCTCCTTCGCTATCGCATTAGCAGTTGCCCAGTTATCACCAGTAACCATAATGCTTGAGATGCTCATAGAATTCAAAAATGAAATTACACGGCTTGCCTCAGGTTTCAATGGATCAGAAACAGCAAAAGCCCCACAAATTGTCCCATCAATAGCAACAAGCACACATGTTCTGGCTAATTGTTCAGTTTCTGACATGTATTCTTCAACTTCAGGCGTTACTGGGACTTGAAGTGAAAGCATGAGCCTCTTGTTTCCAACGAGGACATGTTTTCCTCCAACATTAGCGCTGACACCAGCACCAGAGTGCACCTCAAATTCTCTTGCTTCTACAATGCGATCATTGTGCGATCCATATTGCTCATGTAGCTTCTTCATGTGCTCAGCTATGGCCTTTGCTAAAGGGTGCT